TGTAGCACTGTGACTACAACACCAACACGAACACGTAAGGTAGTTATTATTGCAGCTATTTTTAGAATCCATGTCCATAGGAACAGTACACCTTGAGGATCACGATGAAACTGAGGTATTTTTTATGATGGACAGTATATTTATGAAATGAAAACCATTTTATATATCATGTTTATTTACATTTCTAATACACAAATCTTTTATTTACATCATAAACTTTAAGTTAGTCGTTTGCCCTGCAGATCCAGCACTTGTTATATAAACCTCTTTATTGGCTAAGGAGTCTTTGAATGTTTGTAAACGATTATCCTCCTTAAAGTAGTTGTAGAAACGTAAGGGAAGCACAGATTTAAAGTTTCCAGTCTCCACGACTACCCGGTCACCATATTTTGTGTTGATTGTGTCGATGCCGATGATTCGATATTTCTCCCCCACCTCCAGGTCTTTTACATTTTTGAACGGCTTACAGAAAGTGGTATTGTTCAGTGTATCAAGATCCATTTTAACCAGTTCGCGTACGGTGTCGGAATGATTTTAAGCACTACTGCAGTTACACTTATATTGCTGACGTTGTGGAGGGGAGGCGAATCGTTCACGATAGACTTTGTCCCGATGCCTTTTCTCTAATACCGAAGACAAAACTCGACTAAGTTGTTCGATTTTATTTCGGAAACGAAATCTATCGAGCGCGTCTGTTTCCCACGAACCTCTTCGTGCTTTACCGTAAGCAAACGACCACGCTACCATTATGTACACTTCATTCCGTGATTCGTCAATTGTAACTCTCTTCTTCATTTTCAGTCCAGTCACTTAACTCACTAATAAATTGTTCTAACTGGGCCTCTATCAATCTACGTACTACACATTTCTCACATATTTTACTGTTTAAATAACTCTCACATATCTCTTCGCCCAACTCATATTTTTTGGCGATGGCCAGACACTCCTGCTCACTATATTCACCATTACCATATATTGCTTCATGTTCGGCGTCAAATACTAACGCCGAAAATTTTTGCTTAAGCCGTTCTACCGCTGTTACAAAATCTCTCGCCTTGCTCCACGATTGCTCAGCATACGCTAGCCATGCCATGATTATTTGATATACACGACAAGCGGGCTATATAATTACTGCGCCCCACTATTCCATTAGCGGAGATCAAAACCATTAAGCTAAAGGGTTTAAGCACAGACAACGAGGTCAATAACCTTTTATCAAAAGGTCAGGGGCTTGAAGGTGAACGACCTTTAAATAGAAAAGGTCATTCCCCCGAACAATAAGGTTAATGACCCATAACGCTCAATGACCTTCACAGCTCAAGGTCATATTTAGAATCGGCCCTACCTTACTACTCTACGTATTTATATCTGTACTTATCGCTATGATATTATTTACACTTGATGCGTCTCAAACTTCTCGAAATTTAAAATTAATGCGATCACAAAAACGAGATTAGTTTGTGGTCGCTACCTGCGAGCGAATACGACCACGCTCTCCGCGAATTGGTTTGTTTTTGTTCTTCGTTAAATAACACGAATATTAATTAAGCACTAATCTCTATATCCCGCTCAACGTTATCCGTTTTGGTTTCATGTCATTTTTAGTAAATTTTCCGATCAGCGTAACGGTTACTCTCAAGTTAAGGACTTGATATTTTCATTCCGTTAAGTATAAAAAGGCTTGTTTTCCTTGTTTGATTCCCCGTCGCTAGTGAGTATCGTTGAATTTCGTCCTGATTTAGGAAATCGCTACCGTTTCCGTGTGCCGTAATTTTGTTTTAGATTTTCCCACATGAGCCCTGGAGTTTTCCGTTCCACCGTCTAAATACCCGTGGGTTCCAAATTACCGTACCGAAGCCGCCGCCCTTGACAAGGGTTAAAACCTCCTGGTGGTGCACGAAAGTAGAACAGAGACATACATCCTCCGCCATCTTGGATTTGGTGACGTGAAAAAATTATGACTTCGGGTTTTCTCCGGTTATGCCATTGGGTTTTTCCCAAGGTCATAACTTTGGGATTTTCCCGATTACGGCACAAGGTTGTGGCCTTGGATGCTGGTCCAAGGTAATTGCCTTGAACTATGACCAGATATCGTGGTTCTGCACTTACATGTACGAGTACAACGTTTTTCTAGTTCTTGTGTGGAAATCCTTATCTTTTCGAAATTTGCACACATTATTATTCATACGCGAAAGAGATGTACAGTTAGTAATATTACTATGATTACGTAAAACAGAGAGATTAATAAAACTGGTAATACGCTAATGTTAACGCCGCAATAAAGGAATAATCAAATGAGCTTGGAAATCCGACAACTAAAGAGTGGCTTTGTTTTGTGGTACAAGGTTGTGCCAAGGAATTTCCCTGGGGAATAAGTCATAAGTAAAGTTTTTCTTTTGTTATGATCTTGGACCATCCAATGCCACGTTCTTGTGACGTAACAGGAGAAATCGTGACCTTGTGATGTCGTCAAATCCAAGATGGCGGAAAGTGCCTTTATTCTACTCTCGAGATTTCCATACCGTATCGCCGATCCAGGTTGCCGCCGACTGCCGCCGCTTTCACACGCTCGACCGAAAATAAGTTGCGATTTATTTTCTTTTTGTATTAGATTAAATTATTATTATAAATAAACACCCCTAATCATATTTAATTTCAAGCCATTTGTGCGTAGATTACCGAAGTTCACCGCAAGATTACATTACGCAAGGATTCTTCAAAGTTCTTCATACATTTTTCACTGATACATATATTTTTTTATGTTTGCCGGGGTTGGCAGGGTTTCAGTCAAGGCTGCTCTACCAACCAAAGCCACTATACATTTACAAATATCCATGCCCGAACCCGGATTCGAACCAGGAACCCTTAGCACCACAGTTTAGCTTAACTGAACTGCGCCACACGGGCCGGCATTTGAGATTTCCAAATTCTTCAGAGACCCTCTCAAGATCACTATAACATTTTTGCGATTTCTGAAGATTTGGAGAAATAAACCGATTACATTGGGTGGTCGCTTTAGAATTAAAAAGGTATTTTTTCGAATTTATATTTTATTCAACATAGGAAAATTTACACATGTGTCGCTTCATAGCGAGCATGAACGGAAATATGTCTGGCGATAGTTGATTTTCGCGCACCACTGCGTACCATTTTAAAATGGCGAAATTGAAATTTTAACGAAGTTATAAACACAGGCGCGTACCGGAAATCGTTGCAAATGTTGTGTTTTAAATGCAATGCCTTTAAAGATCGTTGAAAAAAAACAAAATTGAGACATTCGTGATTCAATATTTAGAAAACAATAAGTCTGGCATGCCGTGTGCTGTTAGGGTGCACGGCGTCTGTTATGTTACACAGAAAATACCTTCATTCACCGTTCACTTGTTCAATGTTCCTTTTTGAAGATTTACTTTTGCGCGATACGATCTCCCACATACACCGCGCATCCTGACAACACACGGCATGCTAGATTTTATAAGTTTTCTGGGATATTGCATCATTTTTTTGTATCAACCATATGTATATTTTATATTGCCGTACAGCTAATTGATTGCTCTATTCAAATTTCATAAAAAAAAACAAATAAGCATTGCATTTGGAAAACAAAAGTTGTCTCCAATTCTGGTTAAACTGGAAGTGCTCCCTGAAGTTTCGATATGGGAATGGGTACATTGTAATGTCACATATAAAATTATATTTGACAAATCTTTCGTATCTCGCCAAATAAAAGGGATATTGAGGTGACCCTCTTATCTCGAACGCACTGTATACACTGTGTCCAAGATAAGGATGTCTATAATGAAATCTCCGTAACCATAGAAGATTAGAAGAAAATAAGCGCAATTAAAGTTATTATCATGCTTTAAAAAAACCAGAAAATTGCGATTCCGAAGATAAAAAATATTTTTGAATGATCTGTGGACCCTTTAGAAATATCAAATATCTAAAGAACTTTTTAAACATAGGCGTGAAGTTCCCCTTTTTTAACAATTTGAATAACACACACTTTGTATGATACCGTAAAATAGCATAATACGCCCATAAATTTAATGTACAGTATGTCCAGAATCCGGATATTTCGATAGCGGTACTCCACATCTCTTTTTTATGCATTAAATTTATTGATCAAAATTAAACATACGAAAATTTCCACAGAAATTTAATACTATTAGTGGTCTTAATGCTATTCTAATATTTACTTCTGAGAAATGTGCAAACTTCATTAATCCGACATGCTAATGAAATTGTGTGAGATTTTGCAGGACATTGCCCTATGAATTGATTAATTTTTTTCTTATAAAAAAATTGACTCACAATTCCACTCCAAGCGTAAGTGACTGTCGGGTATTTTTTACATATTATAACTTCTTTATTTTACATTTTTCTTATTAATACCCTTAATACCCGAAAAACCATTAAATTAAACCCTGTACTGAGTTCACAATCCTCGTAGAATTATCCGGAGATTTTTGTAATATCAATATGATAAGAAGCTGCAAAAGCGTGACAATGCCCGTTTCACCATTCGAATTCGATCTGATTCGAAATGTTTACTACTACTCTGTCCCAATTCTAATAAACTTCTTTATAAATCTCAAAACCATCCAGTTGTAACAATGCATCAATTGTTCATAGTAGCATAACAACTCGTAAAACATTTATTGCTATCTATTACCGCCCATTTCACAATTATTATTCGACATAACGGCTATAGCATAACTGTTATAGAACATGTAATCATAGGGGGTACCAAGACGTAATAATATATTTAAAAAATGGTAAAGTCGGAAATCGGAAACTCAAAGTTTGAGAGCATTTTGGCCCTTTTGGTAGTTTTGAATCCAGACGTTAAACGTCATCGAAATTTTTGCACAAGCATTCTTTCATACATTTTTAAATTCGGACGTCATAAGTTGGATAAGGTAACTACACTTAAACTTACATAGTAATGCTCTCTCGCAGGTAAGTGGGTCATCCTATATATAACCAAGTTCAAGGTATTTCTTCGGCATTCGTAGTGATTACCTCTTGCAGTGCTGTTCTCTACCTGTATACTTGTGCGTCGCCGAAATTGTAACTTCCGAAAGTAAGTTTATTTTTGATTAGCATTTCGATTTTTGCAATTTTTCATGTTTAAGTATTTCGAATATTTTGTGCGCCAAATAAGATTTGTAACTCGCCGAACTATGACCCACTATTGAACGTGTGACCCCCATTTTGCGCGTTAAGTGCACCATTAGGGCCTACTTAATTAATTTCTCGTGTTTACGCTTCCTAGACATTTTAAAATTATGGGCGACACAAACTCAGGTTAATAACCGGTCGACGGATCTGCCTTATGTTGCGAATCCTCTTTTCAAAATCCGTTAATCTTCAGAAAAGTTTTCTATTTACAAAAAATTCCTGGTGTACAGTTAATACAATACGGCTTTAGGATAATTGGTGATTTCTAAAAGAAACCGGTATTTGTTTATTGAAATACTTCCGTTTTAATAACAATAACAGATCGCAATTACGATAATTGAGATTGTCGCCTTGAGGTAATTATGACAATTTCTTTGTTTTTGAGTCATCCATTTGTATCGTGAATGTTCATTGTCTACTGCCTTTGGAGAAATTACGACATAGAAAGTACCACATAATGTAATATAGTTAGGCTTAGGAGGAAAAGGATATCTTTAAGTAGAACGGCTAAATTGCTCGAACGAAATATGAAAACTTTCATACGGTTTTTCTTTTTATTACAGACGACACTTTTCCATCGGTTCACTTTTTCATCATTTTCTTATTATGGATTACTTACTTTTCTTTATTAAGGAAAGTAAACCGGTAGCTACCCATGCTTAATCTTATATGCTGCTTAAGCTCTATTTCCTCTTTGGATGGATGGATGGATTTGCGTAAATTTTCAATTCAAATCTTGATACTTGGCTCCATTCGTTTTAAAGCAGAGCTTGTTCTCATTTTGAAAAAATACCTAAAATATGGATTTACTATCACGATCGCCCATTGCAATAATGTGTCAAAGGTGTCGTCTTGCATAGCTTCCGTGACATTACTAACAGTTCCGTTATTTTCAAAAATATTACCTACCGGCGTTCCGTGCGAATGTTTTTTTTTATATAAACCGTTTTAATTCCATTAATTAATTAGAAGCTACAGCTACATAGAATACATATTGTTATTTTATGCGATTATACGGGGTACCTAGGTACACTACAAACTTCCGTTAGCATACCTAATTCATTGACTCAAGAAATTGACATTATTCTGCCTATTATTCTTACCGGTCTGCGCCGGTCATAAATGACGATAAAGTTCAATTGATCCAAACTTCGAGGGTCAGTATTTGATTGACAGTATAAGTACCTATTACCACACTATGCTATTACCTGATGTCGTTTTGTAACGGTATGAAGCAATTTGCCTTATCATGCATAGCTTCACTTTCGTTGCTCTGTTTATCAACTTTTTAATAGTCTGTCCGTATGTCAAATGGTAGGGACACCTAAGTCAATTGTTACTAAAATGCGAAAGATGATTCCAACACAGATTTGCGATAGGTTTTTCACCTTGCAACATATTGAATATCGAACTGTACGTAATTGCACTGCTTGTGCCGCTTCTTTCTAATTTTGGGTAATAGCATCAATTAGACATTGTGTTTACGTTTTAATTTACTACAAACGTTATACATATTAATTTGAACAATAGACAACAATACACAAAACAATTAACAGAAATTTACAATTTATTTATGTAATAATACAATTTAATACTTTACTTATAATATATAGGTACTAGACGAGGTACTTAGGTGCAAGACTACGTACTACGTTGCACTATCTACATCATAGAATTCAATCTACATACATTTTGTATTGTATTAGAATTCTTATACAAGATGCTATTTTAACGAGTATTAATTAAACAGGTCCAATGCCTGCTGACTCGGCGTTTAATTAGTAACGATAAACATCCACGCAAAGCGATTCAGCGCTGTAATCTATTCTAATGTTAGATGTTATACACAAATTTCGGGATAACATTCACAACAAATGATAACCTGTCCCCAATTTTATGCCAGGCATGAGTGCTTCGGGACATCCAATAAACATTTTTTTTCCGTTTCGAGACAACTTCACTGTTGCGGGAACCAAATCCTAATTAGTTACAAAGTCAGTGGCGTTCTATAAATTTTGTTTGCACTGGATATTAAGTAATTAGTTAACTTACGATTTTCTACCCAAGTTTTTATTTGCTCTAATTTGATGCTAATTGTTGATGCTCCCATTAACTACGCACTTATTCAACGGGTACTCCTGTATTTTTTACCTCTCTACGGCTTGTTTTAATTAAAATACATTTTATACAGGATGCGTAATTTAAACAACGCCGCAAGCTGTATCGTTTACAGTTTTTGACCAAATGAAATGAAATTTGGCAACTGTCTATGGGAGGTAAATACGCATTAAAAGGGGTATTCAATTGTTTTTGTGTGACTCCCGGTTTCACCGGGAAAGATAACAACGTTTAAATTTTAAATAGAACCCGCCTGCATATTATTACATATTTCGATAAAACATGACGTTATGAATACAATGACACTTCATATGCCAACTTTTGACATTTGAATCTAAAAATCTTACCTTTTTAACCAGCGTGCCACGACTGCTAAAACAGTCGAGGAACCTTGGAGAAATTCATATAACCGTCCTTTGCCCACTCAAAATTATTGTTTCCACAGTGAAAAACAACTGAATATGCATTTTAATCCATATTTACCTCCCAGACACAGTTGCCAAATTTCATTCATTTCGAATTGTTATAGACGCCACAGATTGCGGCGTTTTTTTATATGACACCCTGTATACCTATTAATTAAATAAGAAAAAAATTGTCCTAAGGCGAGTAACTTTAGAGCATTTTCCATGCACAAATCAGTACTTGCCGAAACGCTATACTGACACAAGCAAAACACCAACATTTTTATGGTTAAAGGGTGATTCATATTTCAAATGAATCTTTATATACACCGTGTCCAAGATAAGGATGTCTATCATGGTTATCTCCGACCTGCGTAGCTCAGATGAGCTTACGTTAGGAGCTCTAACTTTAGCTACAAGGGTCCTGGGTTCGAATTCCAGGTAAGGCATGGCTGTTTGGGATTGTATAGTGGGTTGAGTGGGAAGAGTGGCAAATTGCTAACAGTCCGCCCACTATAAAATAAAGGCAATAAAAAAACCATAGAAGATAAGACGATGGTCAAATTTTAGAAAAGATACCCAATTAAAGAGTTATATTATCATGCTTTAAATAAAAACCAGAAAATTCCGATTATTTTCGAAGATAAGCCAGAAAAACTGAAATTTACCGATTTCGTTGTTATTTTTTTCGGGTGTTATTTGAACAGATACAAGAAAATAAAAAACACTTTGTCCTTGCTACTTTGTAAGCTCTACAAGACACCATTGAGAGATTTTCAATACAACGTTTCGTTTCGGAGCAATCCTCATCAACTTTAGTTTTTTACATAGTCCGCAAAAAAATAACACGGCGTGTGCGCTGGTGCACCATCCTGTTGAAACCAACAGTTTTCAACTTTTGTTTTTTTGCGTGTGCCATATATCGTTGAATTCGTATTAAAAAATGCTACTCAATAAAGTGTGTACTTTTTTTACGGGTTATATACAAAAATAATGTTAATGAGGATTTTTTTGAAACGAAACGTTGGATTAAAAAGCTCTCAACGGTGTCTTGTAGAACGCGAAAAGTGGCAATGAGAAAGTGTTTTAAGCTTTTACAGACAGACTAACCGCATAAAGTTTAGTTGTCCATGGAGACAGGGCGTTCTACCATTTCCCCAATCAAACTGGTGAATATAATTGTAAGAGCAAAAGTTAATATTTTTGCGTTTAGCGATGAAGTTTTGAGAGTTTTGGGTGCAGAAAGTTTATTTCACACTTCTTTGCTCATTCGACATTCCCACGAGATCCTCTCTACAGGCCGTGTTGGAACCGTCGACCTACATATCCACAGATCACTAATACACCTTCTTACTGTTAGATGATGAATTGAATGTGCTTTACGGTTGATTGCACATAATTAATTCTTTAAATATCTCATTTTCATTTTGCAAGTGCAGTTATCGTTGACTTCATTTTGTAGTGCATCTGTCGCGATCGCCTACCTTAAATTGCATCTGTTATTCGCCTTTTGCCATTTTATCTTGGGCAGCTTTCATTTTTCGTATGCACTTTCTATGCGGTTACTAGCTCGAATTCTACACCCAACACCAGTAGGTAAAGCCTTTATTTAAGATTGCGTTCAATAATTATTTATTAATATGTAACACCCTTTCTAAATATTATCCCCCCTATCACCCAATTTTTTTTTACATACGGTCATGTAACACCCTGTATAGCGTTTTCCAAAAGTCTCAGGACAGAGCTATAAGTTTCAAACGACCGTACGAAACCATTCTTCGAATAGACGCCGCTGTGCACAGTGCATGTCGTAATGTTGGAGCTCGGTTTTGCTATAAGCTGTGTTCCATAACCGTAGGATTAAGTCATTCATTACTCATTAGCATTACATACTCCTCCACAAAATAAATTGCCTTTTGTAAGCCAAACCAGATAGTATTTCAAGATTCCCGGGACGAAGCTATAAGTTTCAAGCGCCTCGAGAGAAAAAAAACATGAAAATTTCGGGATCAATAGAGGGTCATAAAAATTACATATTAGATAGTTTAGAACTTTCATACACTGTGGAATTTTCTTAGGGGATAATAACCACAAAATTTTTAAATTGCAATACCCGTCTAATTTTACCTTATACTAAAGGTAATTCAAAAAGGAACACATTCCCTAAGTATTTCTTCATTACCTTTAAAACAAGGCAATTTAAACATTTTGGAGTTTCCACCTCCTAAAAAACATGCCCAGTATACGAAAGTTTTAAACCATCTAGAACTAGAACGCAGTTTTTATGGCTCTTTGTTAATCCCGAAATTTTTAGATTTTTTCCTTTACTCTACTCTTTTAAAACATGTAGCTGCATCCCAGGACTTTTGGGAAACCCTGTATATTTTTTACGCAATTCTTGTAATTAGACTATTTGGTTTGGCTTACAAAAGACAATGTGATGACATGATCCTACGGTTAGGCAACACACCTTACAGCAAGATCGAGCTTCACCATTACGACATGCACTGTATACGTACAGCCGCTATTCGAAGATCGGTTTCTTGGGGTGAATAACAAAAGACAGCACGGGTGACGTCACACCAGAGACTTGTTATAACTAGACCGCGCGTAACGTAGATTTTACTATAAACGCCTGTTGTCAAGATAGGATAGGCAACCAACTGTTCATCGCGGGGCAGACGTACGTTCTGCAGCTTGCTTTAGCCATGTTTATTCTAAATTTTAGTAGCAAAAAAAGATAACATATAGCTGTTAACTGTTTTAATCGAATTTACTGGTATTTTATTTGAACTAAATTGGTATATAACTGCCTTACTCTAGTCCTAATTTGATTTATATGTGTATTTTGGTGGTGAACACGTATGGGAAAATATACTCTTAAAACTAAAGATGTAAGTAGTAAGATATGATTATTTAGCGGATTTTGATTCAATATATGCCTATCCAAAAACCCAAATGGGCTGTAGCTGTTATTTATTTTTCTTAGACTGCTGATAACCATTTTGTTTACAACGCGTTGTGGTGTGGATTAAATGAAAAACCTAAACACACTTTCAGCAATTTGGCAAATTTTTAATGCATCGCTTGATACGAGCAACAATCCTCCACGATTTTTTCTAGTTAAAAGCTTTGAATGACTCTCTGATGCGAATATCGCATCTGCACATATGGAACATTTAACAGACTTAGCTATTTTTCTTGTAACAAAACCTGAAATATACTTAGTACCAGTAAGTACTTAGTTACGTCTATACCTAATAGGCAAATAGGTATTGCCGTTGTCTTGCTGGTAAAGGATGTGGAATAATAGTTCTACGGTATTTTAAGTGGAGGGGAAAGTCGAAAACGCTCGGTATTGCATTATTGTTGAACACCTTCGTAGGTACCTTTCTAAAATCGGCTTCATTCCCCGCAAATGCACTATGGTGAGAGTAAATTTTTCTCTTCGAATGGCTCTGATCCATTGGCCCTTTAAACTTTTATCCGTTGAAAATCAGCATATTGTTTCAAAATTTATCGACAGAGTACATGTTGATAGGCACAAGCTAACCTAAGTTTATTGGTTTATTCTCAACAGAAATTTATCTGTTCACTATTTCGAGCTAATCACGAGAATGATTAATGAACGGAACATCTAAAATAACAGCTTATTTCATTATATTGCATATCATCTCAGCGATTTTTGCCCCGCGGTGCATTGTGTGTTGCATACTGTGTCGACAACACCTTAGATACGTTAGGCGCAGTCTAGTTATAGCAAGTCTCTGCGTCACACCAATTAATCAGTATTTTTCTTTTATTGTTTTAGGGAAAAGGTGGTATTTGTTTTAACCCCATTTTTATGTCATTTTGGATTCAACCTTTAAATTTCATGTCACAATTTGTGATCATTTAAATCTTGCTTTAGATTTTGACATCTGTTTGTTGAAAGTATATGGCATGCTTCCGCCGCCGTTTAGCCATATCTGTGTGAGTCATGGTTTTGTTTTGATGTGCATGTGGCCTTGCTGGTTAATTATCTGATCATATTAATTTATGTAATTTGTATGACTCAATTAACCGATTATTGCATGGGGAAAGAACCTCATGGTTGATGGAGTTTAAATTCTCTATATGTGTCTTTATCACACGTGGCCGGATGCCGGAGTTGCCTGGCTCTTCTTCTCCTTAATTGATTCGTTTGTAGGTGTCATAATCGATCTTAACTTGAATAATGGCCATGCTTATTTTATTAATTTGAAACACCCAGTGGGCTCGATCAACTCCAGACAATTCCAAACAAATTTTATTAACACCTGACGTAATTTTTGGGCACGAATACAAAAATTTCACATGAAACTCTGTTTGGGTCGCACTTTGGGTTCGATTAAACACACAGTTGATTAATTGACAAAGACAAAAAGAGATTAAAAACAATGCTGGAAGAAAGAAAGGCATTTAGAGTACGTTTTACAGACAATTAACTGACAAACACACGTTCACAGTTTCACTTCTTTTTTTTATTAAACTGTATCTTGATGACGAGGAAAAAAAACTGGCTTGTTCAGTTAGATGACAAATTTGGTGGCTTTTCGGACAGTAGAACACTTTTACCTTTGAACTTGTCGAAAGGCTTCGCAAAAACTGCCTGGTTTACTCATCCTCAAACTACTACTTTTTTCCGTTTACGAACCAAACGCGTTAACCAATTCTCACGAACTTTTACTAACTCACTTTACGACGTTACTTCAATCTCTTAATACGATCACTACACAACTTTATTGTAATCACGATGATTTACCTCTAGCTACACAAATACTGCCCAAAATAACCGCGTAACAAATATCATGTACTCAAACCGTCACCAATAAAAAAAACCTGTTTCAACATCTTTATGAATTTTCACATAAACCACCAATCACAATTAGGCTTCAATAACGCCAGGTCCGACAGAACGCGACCCGCGTCCCCACTTACGCCGCGAAACGCGTACATCTTCGTAAATCATCTGCATCTTTTTATCAGAATCACATGTGCACTAATTAAATTTCGCCTAACACAAATTTCTTATCGCAAACAACCAGATATAACCTTACATCCAGCAAAAATTCGGACAAACGTGTCTTACTTCTAGCACGTTATCTAAATTGAAATCTATACAAATTTCTAAAACGAAAAACAAATACTGAAATACAAATTCAAACAAAACGATCACACTTTGTGTTTATTCGTAAAAACGCATCATGTTTAAAAAAAATTAAATGTTTCACATACAGGGTGGCCCAATCTTATGCTGAAACCAAACTAACGTCTGCGTGACGTATGTATGGCAGCATTTTTTATTTACTGACTTTTAAATTTCACCCCACGTGCGTAATAGATGTCTCTTTTGACGAGCAAACCAATGGTTCTATTTAATTCCCCATCGTATCGTACCTTCAAAAACATACAACAACCGACCAATAGAACAACGCAGTAGTACCATTATTCGTACCCTTCAGCCTACTGCTACCAAGATTTGAATCTAGCGCGAAAGGTTTGCCATTTCGACATAGAAGTCAGTGTTGTCGCTGGTTGTAATTTTTCCCCATAGTTGCCATCTGTCAGTATAGGGTAAGTCAAAATTCCAGTACCGGATCTGAGACACCTAAGAACATAACAAAAGATTTAAACCCACCACGTAAGTAGCTCGGTTCATCGTTGGATACTGTAAGTATAGGACTTCTAGATATCCCAAGCTCGTTTAGGTTTGTGGAAATTTGTTGGTCGAATGCGAGGTTGACACCCCAATAAACAGTGACCCAAATGAACTTAGGATATCGACACATAATTATGATGCAATTAGGTACTTATTTCATTCGAAGTGCCAGAGAGGGGTACGACGCACGGATGAGGTCTAAATGGAATAGAAAGGGTCGTAAATACCGTGACCACGTTTGTTTCGTCACATGCAAAATATAGTTGTCGATAAAGAAGTAGGTAACCAAAGAATGTGGCCTTGACAATGTTCCAACATTTTTGGAGAGTTGCGAACTGCACGTAGGTAGCTACCCAACTTGTACGTTTAGAAATGAGCATCAGCTAACGGTACTCTTCGTAATTACATCGCGAAATTATCACGCACAGCTTACAGACGATCGGAAATAAGCTCGCCTTCCTGACATTAAACCTTTTCTACAATTTCACTCGTAATAAAACACTTTCCATGCCATATACCCAATTGTTATTTAATTAAGGAATCAATTACACGCACTAGTTGCACGAAATTCGCCCATTCACAAGTTTAAAAACTCGCTCGTGTAACGGAAGAAGTCACGCCAAGAATTGGTCAGTGTTACGTTCACCTCTAAGTAGGCCACCGAAGATATTCGAAACATTTAAAAAATCAAATACGGAATGTGATTAACCAATTAATTTTCCTCCACCTTTCGTGCATTGGGTCAAACGATTTTTATTTGCAGAATGTACAGACAAGCTGTAGGATGGATGCTGTTCGCACTGTTGACGAGTAGCCTTACCATCCATACATTCGCCTACCCTAATCAACACGAATTTGTACCCGCACGAACTCCACAACTACCCTCTGAACGCATCGAACGAAAATTTGCGGAGAAACCGAACGCTATCAAGAAAGTATCGCTAGACAACTTATCCGACCTTGAGACGAACAGCATAGAAGACAGTAGTAGCTCGCAAAATGGATTTTCATGGTCCAATCTTTTAGGTAATGCCAACACCTACATCTCAATTAGAACGAGTAACTGTACCACTCTTTTTGTTAATTGCAGGAGTCATTATGCACATGCTCTTTACTCCTGGAACTCCAACTGGGCCGAACAAGTCGGAAAGCTTGGACGATAGCGTCGCCCCATCGCCTTGGGCCAACCTGTTATCAGTTGGATTGAAAATCCTCACCGCATTTTTGGGCGGAGGACCTGTAGGAGGTGATGGTATTGATAAAGTTGATAACGGTTCATCTCCATTACAAGTAAGTACCTATACTTTGTAACAAGTCCGCCCGTCACTTTGTATATATCACGAAAATTAAATTTTGAAATCACTAATTGAACACGTGCAAAGTTTTTTTTTTCAAAATTGTCAATTTGCTTTTGCTTTTAGTTTAGCTATTATTAATTCATCACGAATGTAAATAGATGTTTAGTTGGTAAGCACTAGTAGTTGCTTGGCTTGCACAGGAAATTTTAGCGGCGATTCTTCCTTCCTTCCTGGGCACAAGCGATCGGGAGCAAGTTAACACAATTGCTAAGCAAGCAGGGGAGGTAAGCTTTTCAAATAATACCTAAGTATAAAGTTTTCACGTTAAATTTAACTGTAAATAGAGCACAAGTAAATCACGAAGCCTCTTTTAAGATTAAATCCGTTGTAGTTCCTTAACATCATTATGAACCTATTGGAAGCGCTCAAGACATCTTTCTCGCATCGCTCCATCGCCGCTCGCAGCGTCGGAAGGAAGGATTCAATCAGCGACGCCGCGGTCGCCGGGATTAGTCTAATGAAGGGCTACGTAAGATCGTTAGGAACGAGCGAGGAATCCTGTATGCAGAAATACGTATGCGACGCTAACAGGGAGTGCAGTAGCGACGTCGGACAGACTTCAATTTTCTGTCACCTTGGAACGTAAGGAAACGGTTGATAGGTGCACAAATAACCAATTTGTTTCTAGTTATGCTGTTAGTTTCGTAATGGAGCGATCGACGGGAAGCAGTTTTGACGTTTTGTATGAAGCGGGAAGAAGAGGTCGATCTGGCGATAACTGTCAACAAGCTTTCTTAGAGTGCAACGAAGTATGATAGGTGACAATTTTTCTTAACGGATCGTGAGTTGTACTAGACAGTATTAGTCGCTGATTTTTAAATTCGTTTCCAAATTTTTCTAGTTAGATATTTAATACAGGCTGAAATTCATCGCTCAGGTTCGAAACAACTTTGAATAGTTACATAAGATCACTTATTTATAGATTCTGGAAAGACTTATTGTCAAATGTAATTGTTATAACACGTTGCGTATGTACAAATGTGTGAATGAATGCGAATGCAGTGTAGATTTACGTTAAAGAAATTACTTATTGCAAAATGGGAAATGCGAAATGCACAGTTTAAATTTTGTGTTCACCAATTTGGATTTGCTTCATTGTAGTAGACGTAAAACCGAGGAAGATATTGAAGTTAGTTGTTAATGTTTGTAGTTGTATTTTAAATTATTTAATTTAAATATAAAAATTAAAAGTCGTTTATAAAATAACCAACTTCTATGCCCATTGCCCATACCCTTATTATTTTGGAATCCCAAGATCGTTATACGAATAGGATTGACCTCCAGTAAATCGACTGCAAAAATTATATCAAATGCAGTTATTTTTTGGATATGCTTGCAATTCCCAAGAAAACGAGAACATTCACGTAAAAGCTTGAATATCCATTAGGATTATTTTTGTTTTGACACCCTGTATCCTACAAACGACTCGCTCAAATTTGAAAACTAAACCATAGGCGTGTAGGAAATTAAGAGCCCATTCCAATGATGTGTCACTCAACCCAACGTTCAATTTAAAATTATTGAAGGGGTGGCAACCCTGCTTATGGGGGTGACAGCAGGAGTGTAAATTTTAAAACGAAAATGTCCCGCTTACAACCAAAATTTACGTGTTTTTGGGTTTTTTTGCTTGCGAGTTATTCAGTTTGTTTCGTTTTCGTTGAGCCACCCTGTATATGAGATCGGGGTGGTTACGAAATTAGCGCATTTTCCAAAAGGAAAATGAACGCTATTGTCCACACTTTGTCCGTCTGTGCCACTACTAGTCCTCAAACTTAAGCTTTTACGGTGTAACACAGTCCCGAAACCAAAACGACAAGATTTTTTGGATTAGTCACTTCCTTCCCGAGTTATTTCTGATTCTGTGCGGAGACCACGTCTATACTAGATATTATTGTTACATGCCATGCCATGGATAAATGCAGAATAATGAAGTTTGATATTGTTTAAAGGTAAGGCATCAGGACAGCAGAAGACGTTTACTAAATAAGGCGAGAAAACCGATCCCATTTTTTTAAGCTAAAAACAGAGGAAAATTGAACACACATAAGCTCGACAGTTACCAGACGCTCGGACAGTAACGTAAATGAAACTATAACGTCTGAAGTCGTGTAACCCCCCCCCCTCCCCCTTTGTTTGGTCCAGATCGAACATCATGTGACAATTTCGTTTGGGGAACAAATTGTATGTTTTGAAACAACGCTGCGACATACATCCTCTATGCACATACCAAATTGAAGAGTTAAAGCAAACTGTTGGAGAGGCATTCAGGGAAATCATTACCAAAGTAAAGGACTAGGAGGCTTTCGGACCTTACTGTAGCTTCGTCAGGAGGATTCGCGGCTGAAATATATACAGGGAATTTTTCTGAAATGTATACATATGGGCTATGTATGGTTAAAATGTATGGAATAGACGGCTATAATAGGCAACCAACTCTACACGAATTTGTTTTTTTTTCACTACTAGCGTCTGATGACATGATTATTAACCTTTTTTCCACTTGTAAAATAGGCTTTCTCGGCATTTGTTCAAAGTGGTTAATAATGTGGACATTATTAACTAGTAGTCAATAACGAGAACTGTCACGCTGTCACTTTTAGAAAACACAACCCGAAATTTCGCTCAATAAACGTTTGGACAAGTTCTCTAAAATGAATAATTGCCACCATCCGCCATTTCCAGAGAAATTACATATCTAAAATTATCACATTTTGAAAAAATTCGAACGAAATTACTCTTTGAAAGTATCTCAATGACAGAACAAAATACGGCCTGTTTGACTTGTACTTCTACGTACTTGATTGACATGTTAAATTAAGAAACAAAAAATTCTTTCCAACCGTTCACTTTCTTATCAATATAATATGTTAATTTAGAGGATTTCATGTGCTAGTAGTGAAAAAAATAGTATATATACCACGGTAGAGAAGTCTCTTATTGCCTTCGCACCTTACACCCCTCGGCGCAAGCGCCTCGAGATGTAATCTTGGTGCTCAGGCAATAATACTGTACTTCTCTACCTTGATATATAATGTACTATTAAATGATAATATGCGTGTGCTATGGAAACAGTAACTTGATTATTCAATGTTTTTATTATTAGCATCAAATTGTGATTTTTTTACACAAAGATGTATAGCAAAGTTTAAGAACTGTAAAAACAGCTCCAGTTTGTCGCGTGTGATGTTGGTTGCCGACAGTTATCTGTTCAATGCCGTGATACCATACTGCATTCAATTAATTATAAGAAGGTAGTAGATTGCGCTGTGTTTGAAGATAAGCACACACAGGAAAAATGTAAAACGGCACCAGAGTAAAGTAGGAATATCCAGCACTGTAAACAGAAATAAAACAAATGATTTCACGCTTGGCTCTTTGACTCGTGTTTTAACCAATCAAAGTGAAAGTCAAAGCTTCTCTATGCTTTCTATTGCTACCTTCTTAAAATGAATAGAGTATAGTATAATTATTCCATGCGTTTGATCCGTTTTTTTAAGTATACATAGCCCACACTTAAGAAATATTCCCTGTATAGTACCAACACTATACGTAAAGACGTAAAGTAGGTATACGTCCGTCAAACTGCTTTTTATACAGGCTGTTTCACGCAAACGGTTACCTAATAGTAGCTATTCAAGTTTTCATTAATAATTTAAATCTCAAAATTTGCATACCATCATAATTTTTTGTGATCTTTGAAAGAAAATATTATCATGATCGTTTCACTTAGGTACCGGATGTCGATAACAACTTTCTTATTTTAAATACAACACCCTGTATTCTATTGTATTACAAATATTACATTACAGAAAAATCTACATCGTTTGATATCACATTACTCTATACCTAGCATCACAGGTTTTCAAGTTATTCAAGATTTTTCAAATTTTTTGAGTCCTGTACCTATGAGTCCGTTAACTTGAATTTCAAAATGTATTCCAAACTCGACAGTACCTACTGACTTGATGCTGCGTGACAATGATTTAAATTTTGATCGCCTTTATACAGGGTGTTTTAAAACCAATGGTCAACTTTATTAACCTCAAACCTTAAAACGTTGATTTTTTTCAAATGAAACATGCTTTATTTTTTTGCGCTTTCAAATGTCGAGAAAAATTCTACACCAATTTAATATTACATTCCCCATACCTGTTTCTTATGCTTTCCGTTTTATTTTAGATTTTCTAAAATTGTGACCGTTATGGCGTTATGCATAGTTTTCTTAGGAGGCCTTGGAATTGAAATCATTGTCAAACAGCATCAAGGCAGTACTGTCATAGAGGAAATAAGACTGTTCCTCGGCCATATCGCGGGAACCGTTCGTCGTATGACTTAGGGGTAAAAAAATTATTGGGTAAATCGGCCATGAAGAATCGCTGGAAAATATTTTCAAGTTCTAAAAATGACCACCAGAGGGCGTAACTGCCATCTTAAATTTTAAAATTGCATTTTCTTTAAAATTTCGCATAATAAACTAAACAAATTTTTTTCACATTTTTAAAGAGAACCAGTTTAGCTATCATTTTCGTAAAAACAAAAACTCAGTTATTTCAAAAACAAAGATGGTGTGGAGCATTCAATTGCCTGATTTAACCGTTTGACCGATTTTAACAAATTTGGTATGGTTGAAAAGAGCATTCCTTGGGCAATGAGTATCAACAAAATATAGTTAATTAGTTGAATCCTTCTCCGCCAGGGGGCTAGTTTTGACACTATGACCCAAAATCCTAAAAAAATCAAATGGAATGATATGACTTTTTCTTTATGAAAAAGTAGCCAAATAATATCCAAACAGGCCAGTGAAAACCGTTTTTCAAAATCTCGTTCGTAACCTCAAATATTGGAAAAATGAGATTAATTAATTAAAATGTATTTTAATTTACTTTTTACGTATTTCCAGTGTATGTCGATGGCGCGAAAGAAAAGCACCCTACACTTTTAGGTAGGCTTTGGAAAATTAAAAAAATGAAACGCGATGCATTATAAAATAATAACCGCCGTAATTTGTAAATTATTCTGCTGTGTTTACATTCAGAAAGTGCAGTTTTTTGAATTTGTAATCTTTTCTAAAATGATATATTTTGAGTATTTTCAAAATGCGACAATCGCTGCTCGCACCTTCTATTTGCGTTATCCGAATCGACCACGAACTATTGCCGCCAGCATATTAAATGCTTCTTGGTTAGAAATCGGCATTTTAGAAAAGATTACAAATTCAAAAAGCTGAACTTTCTGAATGTAAACACAGCAGAATAATTTACAAATTACCGCTGTTATTATTTTATTAATGCATCGTCGTGTTTCATTTGTTTAATTTTCCAAGGCCTACCTATAAAAGTCTAGGGTCCTTTTCCAAACAATCTTTCGCGCCATCGACACATACCGGAAATACGTCAAATAAGATACAATTTAAGCATTTTTATTAATTAATTAATTAATCTCATTTTCCCAATATTTGAGGTTAGAAACGAGATTTTGAAAAACGGTTTTCACTTGCCTCTTTAAGTGTTATTTGGCTACTTTTTCATAAAGAAAAAGGTATATCATTCCATTTGATTTTTTTAGGATTTTGGGTCAAAACTAGCACCCTGGCGCAGAGGGATTCGACTAAATTAACTATATTTTCTTATTCTTATTGCCCAAAGAATGCTCTTTTCAACGATACCAAATTTGTTACAATTAAAGCAGGTTATTGCAAAACCAATTGAACGCCCCACACCATCCTTATTGTTTTTGAAATAACTGAGTTTTTGTTTTTACGAAAATGATAGATAAACTAGTTCTATTTAAAAATGTGAAAAAAGAATGTTGCGTTTATTATACGAAATTTAAAGAAAATGCCATTTTAAAATTTAAGATGGCAGTTACGCCCCCTGGTGGTCCTTTTTAGAATTTGTAAATATTTTCCAGCGATTCTTAGCCTGAATACTTTCAGGTAACGTTTTGCGTGAAACAGCCTGTTAGTATACGAAGTACTTAATAATATAAGAACTTTTCACATTACTTTTAAAATACGACCTAAATTAGAATAAAACATACCAATTATGTATCTATTGTGATATTCTATTATACTGCTTTTTTGTTTGATCTTATAACCCTTGGACTCCTATGGCCCAGAACATACCTACTCTCTTACTTAGATAGGCGCTCATTCTGGTATAGCATTACTACTCTGTGGAATAATATACCGACACGCTACCTTGTCATTCTTCAAGAAACAAATGTTAAGTTTTACTGGGCTAAAAGCAGTCTGAAAAATTGTTTTAATTGAAAGAGAAGCTATTTTTTAAATTTACTGATGTTATTTAAAAAGATATTTCGAAATAATTGGCACATTATTATGGGCACTTTTTTCCCTCTACAAGATGCTAGTTTTAAATTTTAAGTCTGACGTTTCATTTCCGGTTAACCATCATCAACTTTGTTTTTTCTTATGGAATATCTTCTTTTTTGCATGGGAAACTTTGTCTTGTGTAGTGGATGTTCGTAGTTTCTTGCGTTTTTACGAATTAATAGCATCATTTTTTGCACGGACAAGATATGAAGTTCAGGAATGCCAGGAGTGAAGCTTCCGTTAACATTGGCACTGGAATTAGTAACCCGACAGCATCCTTCTTCCAGACCCATTGAGTTGGATTTTTATCGTGTCCAAGGCAAGTCTGCATTTGCAAGTATGTCCTTGAAGCGACTATGCTGGATGGCCTCTTTAGTGGGTAGTCTGGATAATTTAATTCGTTGTTTTTTTACTCCTTTGACAATGATTGAGCTATAACCCTCACGAAATAAATAGTGCTATAGGCGAGGCGTGTTACTGTTATATACATTCACAATATGCATGTACACGCGAAAAAACGTTAGCTGTTTATTTACGCTATGTCACGGTAAAATCACATTAATTGTCCTGAAAACTTTTAATACAAGATAAACTGGAGATTTATTATAACTGTCCCGCAAATCTCTCAAGCTAAAATAAACAGATTGAAGAAGAAATTCGCAGTTGTCTTCAGTGCCAGCTTCTGACATGGTCTCTCCGTCAATGTTAACTGCCGTTCAAAGAGCCGCCACGCAAAATTTAGGATTGAAATTAAAACCTTCAACTTTACACCGCGCGCATTATAGTGGCCCTTCAGCGGGAGGCGGATACCATCAACATCATCATGTATACCACAGCAGCAGTGGAGGTGGATAGTAAGTACCAACAAAAATACTTTACTTATTACGACATTGTATTTTTAATTTTTTTAGCTCAGATCATCACGGGGGAGGCAAAAAACGGAGCATTGCGCTATCTGCCTTAACCTTGCTAGCGTTTTTATTCTTTTTAAATATACTTCAAAACTGCCTCGAAGAACAAATGGCCGCGACGACGACCACAACTACTGTAGCACCACCTCCGCCGGCTCAAGTTATATTTCTATCGAAACAGAAATTGAAAGAGGCCCAGAAAAGGCTGGAAGATGATACGGAAAACGAAGATGAAAACAGGCAATCTAATATAAATTATGAAAGAATTAATAAGAAAATTGTATAACGTGTAGGTACACTGCGACTGATTATAGAAATAGTTCATCAATATTGATGGTAAGGTATCGTCTTTGTGCACTAGTCCAAAATTGTTACCCAGAACATAATAGTCCTTCTCCAACAAGTAAGTGCGACTTGTTTCCATAAGAAAGTGAACATTAGTACCTACGCATACGCCTTTCCCTTTGGAGATCCTTATCCCAACACTCTGTTCGTAGGATATACGTATACGTATGTGGTTAAGTACTTCGACGAACGTAGGTGCCATTTTCCCTATTTAATTTGAAGGTACTCTTTAGGCACGCCATAGTTCGTATACACATTTTGCGAGTGGTTCGAGTTCGGGTCCCTGATGTTACAAAAGATTGTCGAGATCAAACTTTTTCCACGCTCACGAGGAATTTTGAACATTCATATTCAAATGCTCAAATGTGATTTATTTTACTAATTCTTCTAGTAATTATATTAATTACCCGGCAAAGTAAAAATACATCTCGCTCTGAATCAACTCCTTATGGGCTATGTCTACTGTCAACGCATGGAATAGACGGCTATTATTTATAAGCAACCAACTCTACATAAATTTGTAACTTAATTTATTATCTGTTAAGGCCAATTCACAGTATCGGTCACTTCACGGTCCCGTCATTTATTGTGGCTTGTATTTCTATAAGCATGTTCTGACCGTACCGGAGCGTCAAATGTGAATATTCCTATTGAAATAGCACGTTACATATTTTGAGCGGAGCGTGACCTGAGCTATAGTGTGAATTGGCCTTTTAAACTGTCAAATTAGGGTTAGCTATCAGTCTTTCTTTTTATCATTAGCATCAAATTGTCATTTTTTTACACAACGATGTATAGCAAAGATGGAAGATCGAAATGTTAACATGGTATAACGGGCGATCAAAAATCAGTTGCTGTCGAGTCGCCTTTGGAAGTTCAAGTTAAATACGATTTCCCATGTAAACAAATAGTTCCAAAGGTGACGTGACAGCAACTCATTTTTGATCGCACAGTACCTACCTTATTTACTTTAGCACATTTTTTAGAATTAAAAAAATTCGCTATACTTTGCGTTTTGTCCATCAGTCCGCCCGTAGAAATTAATTGTATCATTCATGGTGTTCTAATTATTAAAGGTGCGTGTGTTATTTCTCACTTTGAAAAAAACCCTGTATAATACATTCATTTCAAGAAACTATAACTTTAAAAATTGTTTCCTTAAACTTGAGCCATTCTTAATGCATAAGCAGATTCCATTAATTCAAAGGATAAACTGCATCTTTTTGTGAACTGCAATCATCTCCAATTCGCAGGTGTCCATTTCCAAATCGCAATTCTTTTCTAAGTGAAGAAAATGATATTGTTAATGTAAAGCTAATTACGTGACATATATTCACAATTAACTATAACAATAAATACGTTGAATTGAATTGATTTATAAAAGTAATTATTATTTATCACTAATAATGCATAACATAACACGAGCGAGAGCTTAACACTTCACTTCGCATCGATATTAGAACTGCTTCCAAACGTAATTCGATTTTCTTATATAGCAAACGCCCGAATGTTCTCAAGCGCTGCCGAACGCCCCCGAATGTTGTAGAATGTTCCCGAACAAACACGTCATATTTGTCGCAAAGAATGCGTAACATCCGGTTTCGTTTCTTATGACGTTTATGGCGGTTTCTAGAATATTCGCTACGCTACAATAACATAACTGCTCAATGTGGGAAATGGCACTTGGTGTTTGAAGCGAAAAAGGCCACTACTTAACTGTTAGTTTCTTTTTTCATCACCATGTTCATCTGAAACAACAGAAAAATGTTTTAACACTTAATCATTTGCAGACTTATGTGTTTATACGGATGGTGAATACAAAAGGAAATGTAAGAAATAATCTCATTAGGTAGGTACATAGTAACATTGTATATTATATAGAATGGTAGTAACCATACGCAATGCAGTTTACTCCGCACATATATTTAAAATGTTATTAGGAAAGGTAGTGTAACTAGGACTACGCTCATTAACTCTGCAGTATTACCTTTGCGATAAACTACGCCAAGGACGAAAAAATGAAAACGAGCCCGGATGCTTCCGTGCGTAAGCCTAATAATGCCCTAGCTCTTATGGAAATATTACTTGAACGAAATAAGTAGTTCTGGTCTAGAAAATCCAGTTGGCGCTACTATCGTGGTCTAAATAAGTAGTGACAGTTTACGACGAAAGGTTGCGCTTTATCATTACAGACTTTTTAGTCTTTTAGGCCTGCAAAAATCATCAACAGATGGCTCTCCTTCAATGTAACCCGATCGGCTACACAGCGTAACTGAGGCGACCTTGAGTAATGCAAGTTGTAACTCGATACGGCTACGATTATATTATATAAACAAAACGCTGATGTTTAGTTCGACAGCAAATTCCTTTTACTTTCCTGTTAAGAGAAAGAGTCACATATTTTATTTAATCTTTATTTGAAGCTCTAGACCGTTTTTTTTCACTGCGCTTATAATAAATAAATTACGTACCTATGCGTATTACTTGTTTTTACCTATTGTGTGTTTAAGCGAATTCGCATTTATAATAATTTTTGTTCCGGGGTGAGTATTTTGTATTGCTGTCTGTCTGTCTGTCAGTGTGCACGATAACGTTGTTTAAAAACGTCCCATATCCCTTTGAAAATTTTAACACAAATCAAAAAGGTCGTTATTGTTTTTCAGCTACGTAGAGGTAGACTATCGAGCCAAAAACAATTTCGAAGATCGTTCGGTATTCATTTGTATGGGAGTTTACCCAGAATGTATGGATTTTATTATAAAGTCTTTAAACAATGCTTATTAGAAGTCGAAAAAAAGCTGAATTCAATTGAAATGTATTTCGTTACCTTTATACCTCTAAAACTCTAAATTACACTAATTTATTAAGGATCTTCAGAGCCTTTATAGTTTTGTATTGTCCGTCCGTCCGTGTGCACTATAACTCTTTTTAAAAGTGACCGATCATGTTGAAATGGCGTACCAGTAGATACTTTGGACATTAAGGTCGTATCGAGGGTCGGACGCTATTGATTTTCAGGAAGCTGGCTCAACAGGAACAAAGTTATAGGACTTCGAGTGAAACGGGAACAGGAAACACTGTGGGCTCAGTATAATAGAAATCAACATATTTTCATTGCCTAGGTCATGTATCGAGTTCGGACTGTCGCTAGATTATTCCCTGACACTTAGATATGTAACAATTCAATATTCTTCTCTATGGTCTAGGTATAAAGTTTTAGAGCAAAATGTACCCAAAATTAGTCTTCACACATGAATTTAGAGTTGTAAAAGCTTTCAATGCCGGAAACATGAATTTGATGTATTTTTATTGACCATATGTATTATGATCAAAACATGTCAAAAGATTATTCATGCACCAAGATAGTTAGGAAAAAGACCAACAGCATTATCTTGATACCCAAGCCATGCATTTGATACTTTTTTAATAATAATAATAATAATAATGTGTTTATTTCCACCAAATTGTTGACCATATGTATTCTGATCAAATCATGTAAAAATCGTTATTCATGCACCAAGATCGTTGGGAAATAGACCAAGAGCATTATTATGATGCCCTAGATTCGAATTTATTTATTAGTATTTTGCAAGGTTGAAATAAATCGACGTTAAAAAAGTGGTGGGCCGAGCTAAGGATCCTTCTATATTTAGCACTAATCCTTGAAATCGATTGGCGAAGGATTAACGTCGCTGTTTCTTTTCGTTTTCGAGTTTAGACGAGGAACAGATGGATATACGAACGAACAGACGGGCGGACAAAACCATCACATAAGGGCAATTTCTTTTGAAAAATTCCTTTAAAAGGAAACCGTATATATACGTTAGGTCCACTTGTACGTTTTGCCATCATTTTCTGGAATATAATTACCAGTGGTTAAAAAAACAGTTGTGACATGGCTATTGAAGTAAACAACATGCAAAAACCATATCTGTTTGGGCAGCAAAGCTAGTCGTACCTTCAGCTTTCAGTTGAAGAGAGTAATGAGCTTTCCGCAAATAGCAGTCATTACAAAGCGGCAACCTATTTCTTCTTATCGGCCGCTCGTGTTTTATACAGTCTGTTAGTAATAATAGTACATTATATATCAAGGTAGAGAAGTCCAGTATTATTGCCTGAGCACCAAGATTACATCTCGAGGCGCTTGCGCCGAGGGGTGTAAGGTGCGAAGGCAATAATAGACTTCTCTACCGTGGTATATATACTATTTTTTTTCACTACTAGCACTTGAAGTCCTCTAAATTAACATATTATAGTGATAAGAAAGTGAACGGTTAGACAGAATTTTTTGTTTATTAATTTAACATGTCAATCAAGTACGTGGAAGTAGAGGTCAACCAGGCCGTATTTTTTTTCTGTCATTGAGATATTTTCAAAGAGTAATTTCGTTCGAATTTTTTCAAAATGTGATAATTTTAGACATGTAATTTCTCTGGAAATGGCTGATGGTGGCAATTATTCATTTTAGAGAACTTGTCTAAACGTTTATTGAGCGAAATTTCGGGTTGTGTTTTCTAAAAGTGACAGTTCTCATTATTGACTACTAGTTAATAATGTCCACATTATTAACCACTTTGAACAACTGCCGAGAAAGCCTACTTTACAAGTGGAAAAAAGGTTCATAATCATATCATCAGACGCTAGTAGTGAAAAAAATCAATTTACTCGTAGTGAAATCATTTATCAGAAATGAAAAAAGTTGAATCGTTTTTTTGTGAATACGAGATTATCAAAGAAACAATGCTTGTTTTGTCTTACAAATTTGTTGCATTTATACAGAAAAATTGCACATAGGTTCCTTCTTCTGTACAAATAGTAATTTAGAGACATTTCCAATGTCCATCGTCACTGCAGTGAGCAGTCCGCACTTTGTCCGCGTAAAATAGCTTCGGCACCAATGAATCCCGTCGCACCTGGCAACACTTTGCAGTAGCTGTAGGAAAATGGTGAGGGCTGTTTTTCTTAAGTGATAATCTTTTTTGTAACTTGCATAGATACAAAAGGGATAATCGTCTCGTGGCATACATTTGTAAGATAGCTGTAACTTGATATACCACCATTCAAAACAATTATACCTTATATATCTGCTTACCAACACCGACATTCCTCTAATGTTTTTATGCTTTATCCTTGTTTATAAAGGAATGCGTAGTCAAGTTGTGATCCTCAACTTTTTTAACGTACTTTTATTTGTTATTAATAGAGTACACCACTTGGCGGATGCAAAATGCGGAAGGTACAGCTGTCTCAAAAGAAATATAACGGCAAGTATTTTTACATTGGATCTGTTCAACTATAAAGTATTTAAACAATGCTATAAGATTCGCTCCGTTCGTAAGAAGAATACCTAATGTTAATAATGCAGAATAATAGTTGTTTTTTTCTTCACCCTAAAGCACGGTATCTTACACCGTACCCTAAAGCACGGTATAAGATAGAAAGTTAAAAGATTTTCGCAAAAGAATATTCAATCGATATATATAAGTGTACCTTTAGGAATCGCTTTGTACAATAATTAAAATAGGTATTATACAAAACTCTTGTAAATATATTCTTATTTACATTATTAACATTACAGAAACCAAAACGTCATAACCACGGTTTAGAAACAAAAGCCGTTTAAGTATCGTTGGTATATCGTCTATGTTTTATTTAATTCACTCAAATCATAGATTATTTTAATCTTATGCCCAAATGCATGATGTCATTTACTCGTTGTCATTGAATAGGTACCTACTCTGAGCAATGCATATTTGATTTATAATTCATTATTGGGAGAGCGAGCGGTTTTTTTATTTAGTCGCTTGCTTACAATACAAAATTTTAAAAAAACGCTCTTATTATTCTGCGACCTAAGTTGGTACTTACCATGTTGGTACGTCCTTGGATCATTGTTTGTATGATCTAAGGGTACGTCTAATTAGTAGCATCTTGAAAAAACTAAAATTCAACTGAAAATAGAAATTGACATCCCAGTGTTTCTGTATAACTAGGTATGTATACCACGTGTTTAGTCTATCAACATGTACCAAAAATGGATATTAGATATATCAAACTTTTAATCTAAAAGGCGTGATTACGGTGAAATAACCTCGAAACTTCTAAAAAAGTCACGGAAGTCTGGATAAACTATCCGATCGAATTGACAGCACACTATGAAATGAATAAATTAATTTTTTGACGGATATATTATGCCGATCCATTGCCGATCGATGTAGCTGTGAAAACAATTGTCGTCGCACCGTCAAACGCGCGATGTTTAAATAGTCGTTAAGTTTTCTCCAATTTTCTGCACTATTTTCTTGCCGTAAGAATCTTCTACACAGTATTAGAAAACTTGAAAAAACAAAGATGGATGAAATCGGTAAAGTCGTTCTAAAGTTATTGCGTGACCAGAAGAAACAGGGGTCATTTTTATATATAGAGATTGAACGCTTTATTTTGGTTTTCAAAGATGCTTACACTGCCCACCGGCCAGAATCAAAAATTATCTTTTACTAACATTCTAATAAATGTTCGCTGATTATGACAGCTTTGCTTTCGAAACGCGTCGGTTTATATTAAAGATGTTTTGTAGTTTTTGGTTTCAGATTGTGCCAAATTCTTTACAGAACAGCTTCCTAGCGCAAACTAAAAAGCGCTCTTCATCGTTTAACGTCTTCGCGCACTTTTTATTACTTTTACTTGTGTTTAGTACTAATAATTCATTTATTGTCAAAGTCTGTAAACAAACAAACACATTGCATGTATACAGGGTGTGAACCCTCGAGTGATTTTAAGGAGAAAAGTTTATATCAATATAGGTGTTAAACTTAATAAATAAAATTGATAGCTCAAGCACCGTATGAACGTCACTGGTGAAAATTTAAAAAAGTAAACATTTTCTTTGTAAATTTCCAGTGATTTTCGATTCTTAATAAAATAGTGCAACGTAGACTACCACGTGCTGCTTCTACAAGACTGGACATATACGACTGAACGCATTGCCAGTCCCTGTCAGTAGAAAAGACCGACGTTCGTCCCATCATACCACTACAATGGACCCATTTATCCCGAATGTTGACAACAACAAAATCATTAACGTCTTCTCGAACCTCATTTTTTCATAGACCATCCTGTATATGCTGAATTAAAAACATTTTCACTCACGTCGCCCAACAATCGGATTCCAGAGAATAGAGATATTAATTACTATACTTTGAAATGTTGAATTCGATAATTTCAAGAATGCGTCCTGCACATTTGTTCAGAGAAACTCAGAAAATCGCGAAAACTAACAAACGTGTTTCTCCATAAACAATATTACAGAGATCGACACAACACTACCCAATTACGCTCAAAATTTGAACTCGAGAGCTTCAAAATTGCAAGCGGTAGATATAGGGGTAAGTAACATATGCGCAGAAAAATTCGGAAAATTCAGAAAAGCGTATAACGGTTCCAGATCTCTGTGAAGGTTGCGATTGGCGAACATTTGACACGTTTCTTCTCGAGTCAGACGAGGAACAGAATGAAGATTTCTTTTGAAAAATAGGTACCCCTAAAAACGGTTACAAAGACACATATTATTAACATAAACACATAAAAAACGATAAGGGCAACATGTTTGATTTTCCAGTTAAACGTTTACATTTTCATTATTTCGATCAAATCATTCAACTACAAAGACTATACATTTTGCGGGAATTCTGGACTAGGATTCAAGAAAATTTTCTTATGTTTGAAAGAATATAAGAAGGGGCATGAATAATAACAAACCTAATATTCTTCAATAACTTCTTTAAAATGGCATTATGGCCTTAATAAAGAACAGTATACATGCCTTTGTAATAATTGTGCACAGTACTGTAATTTAAATTCCAGATTAGGTGTTGTTGATATACAGTGGCGCTCATAAACCAGATTTACATTGTTTAACAAAACAAGGTAAATGCAGTTTCATGCCCAAATTTTTATTGCACCAATTGCCTAGCTTTTAAAGATACTAATATTAATTTTTAAATTTTTTAAATTAAAATAAAGTTGATCATGACAAAAAAACAAAGTTTGGATAATTACACTTTTACCAACAAGATGGTGCACTTGCATCCAAAATTGGAACTTCGAAACCTAATTGGTTGTTTTTTGTAGGCTGAGATGAGAAACGAAAAAGTGATAGCTTCACTTTTAAGAACACAGTAGATGCTTTGAGAACGATCTTTGGCTAATATACCTTTCTCAAATAGTAAAATGCAATGTGCCCTTAAAGATGTGTAGTGTAGTACCTTCAGCAACGTTGTTGCGATCTGAAAATTATGTATGATTAAGACAAAATATTTTCCTTAATGCAGTCCATATACGGGAAAACTGTAACTGTTGGGGCCGTTGAAGTTGCAAAAAGTAAAAAAAAAAGACACAAATAAACCATAATAATATTTTAATACACGTGTTTCAACAGTAAAGCTGTCATCAGTGAACAACTGAAAAAGAAAATACAAATCTTTAGTCTATTTATACTAATTACCCAGGCAGGTGGAAGCACGTATCCGTCTGGCTATCCATTATTCCACACACCCATGTCCTTATGCGTTCTACAGATGTGCAACTATCAAAAATTGATGTTGCACTACTGGCGGTTCGTGACACATGAATTAGATGATGCACCCCTTAAAGGGTACCTGAGCGCGCGGGGAGGGGATATTCCTCTCCCACCCGAAAGTCTTATAATCAAATGAAAATGGTGTCCCAAAACAGTGAATCAGGTATCTGCAAATCAATCTTTTTCAAATTTCTGTGTGTATTGTAAAGAACAACGAATATATTGCCTAGATAAGTAATGCCAATTTTGTATTGCTTTACAGTACACATGCTGTATATATGATGTATCTATTCATCTTTTCTGCTTTCATAAATACATAAAATAAAAAAAAATTACACTCAGATAAAAAAAAACTGTAATTTGATGTAATGGGAGAAATGCGTTAAGAGGCTTTCATAATAGATTGTTATTGCCAAATATCAAATGACAAACAGAAGGTTTCATTTTTATAGTTGATTTTGTTGATATCGAGTTTTATCTACATCTACATTATTGCTCTATTTGTTTACTACTCCATTCAAGACTCATATATATACAACAAACTCAATCTATGTTTGGCATTGTACAGTTTATTACTTATTGTAATTAAACCTAGAGGTTAAGTGCAAGAGCAGCCAGCATTCGCTGAACTTCGCCTCTTCAGGTTAAACTAGCAGTAGTAAATTAAATTTTGTTGTTCTTTGTATACCTATTATAGTACACTCCCACACTATATTTAAAAAGCATTGATTTCCATATGCTTAACAGTGCAAATCGACTACTCCGGAACTTTTTGTGTACCTTTAACATTTACTGGATAATGAAAAATGTTGCTATTGATAAAAACAAATTTCTAAACAATTTTTCTTTAGGTCATTTCATAATCTTGTCCAGGAAAATAAAATAAATTTATTTTACACATTTATTGAACATGCCTACCCGATTTGAAATATATCGCTAAATAAATTTATAAAACAATTGCAATGATTCGTCATGAACTAAATGTAAGAAATGCACGAATCACACAATCACGTTTTGAAACTATAATGCACATCTAAAAATTGACCCCTCTACAATTTCTATTTCTGGTTTTTTTTGTCATTTAATACAGAAACATTTCATTTGCATGGAATTGTAGCTCTTATTGCTCTTAATTATATTACATGTCAAAGTTCAAAGGGTAGAGTTTTCGAAGTGAGTTCGCACTTGCCTCATATGGCAAGTCACCACTGTGAGGCCCAACGATCTTATGGCGTTATTTATGTACAAAGTTTTCTGGGAAAAAATGAAGTCAATTGCCTAGTATTTGGTATCCAATACATGACCCATATACTTTTTATCTGCAACATATTTTTAATCAAGCTAGGAGCAGTGTACTTATTGTTATTGGTCATAACGAAGTCTCTTAAAAAAATTAAAAAATTAGATGTTTGCATATGATAAACCAATATGATTGAATACAGCAAAAATGATGTTACATTGTGCAGTACTTGATGTAATATTATTTGCATCTTTGAAACACAAAGAAAATGGTTTGATTAAAAATGACTAGATGCAGACTCGGTACCTACATCTTAAAATGACAAGTGGAATCAATAACTGCAAAAAAAATGGTGTTCCATCTGAAACAAGAAAGTTAGTAGCTACAACAACCACAAATTATTGAAGTTAAAGTCAGTCTCAAACAACTGGTATAACGTGTAAATAGATCAAAAAAATGTGGAATGTGTATACTTGTCACATTGTGTTTGTTGGTAATTTTGTCTGTAACTGCTGAATAGTCATTTTTCCGCCGATTGCCAGTAAAAATAACACCCGAATCCAAACCATGCGACTATGGTTTTAATCCTTCTAGTATTTGTTTGGTCTGAGGCATCCCTATATAAATAAATACGACGTTTCCTGGAGGCCAATGTTATTTACAATAAGGGCAAATACCTCTCTGTATGTGGAAATGTTATTGTCTATTAAATGTTTGTTAGTCTGACGTAATACAATTGTACATTGTTTTTTACAAAAAATATGAAATGAAATATAAGGATTAAAAAGTATTAGAGAAGATAGAATAGAACACTAGGAAACCAAAATGTCTTGCAATTCCTTTTCTACAAAAAAAAATTGATCTTGCTTGAACACACTGTAATTATTCCTTTCGTGAGATCATAAAAAAATTAACACACCAACGGCCGATTGCAGGAAAGCGAATTATAATCAAAATCCTAGATTATTTGCCAAATCTGAGTTTAAACGAGAATTTTGACATTTGATTGGCTGCCTACTGCAATATAAAGCCAATCAAATGTCTTAATACCGGATTAAAGAATAATCCTGGATTTTTTTTTTTGTGCAACTGGCCGTAAACCTTTTAAATAAAGCCTCAAGTGCCAAGACTAATTCGTACAGAAAAAGTAATTTTATTTTATAAAAACAGTACACATACAAATAAAATTTTTTTTCATATGTTCCAAAAACATAATTGATGTATAAATTCAAATAATACTAAAGAAATTTATATACACTGATGACCTTGAACATTATAGCGTGTGACATCTTTTTGTACTTTTAAATATCCTCGGTTTCTTTGCGTTATACAAAATTTTTTAACAGAACACACCAGAATAAGTAGTACGAAAAAAAAGTATTGCACTATTAAAAAATACAGTGCAAGTTATGTCACTCCTTTTTCAACGATTTGTAGGTTTGCCAAAGCTACATCGACAGATAAGTTAATATTTAGCAATAAATTATTCAGAAAATTAATTGGATAGGAAACAAATTTTTCAAATTTACTATGTCACAGATTTACATTTTAATATTAACTAAATATTAAAATTGTTACTACAATAGAAACTAATTAGTCATTCACCGAGCTTGCACAAATTTATTTGATTTAATCTTATGTAAATCTACTACTATCAATAATTAGTATAACGTTCAATATATTTTGTTTGTGTCAACGCACTACCACCCATAGTAGGATCCATCATTCTATCCCAATTGGTTTGTCCGACAACAAATCCAATGGCTCTCATTTTCTCCTGTTCCTTTCGTTCTTCCAAGTCAGCCCAGCGAACCTATCAAATGCAATACAGCAATACGGTCCGGGTTCGTCATTGTCACAAAAAATGTTTACTAACCCTCTTTTGTCCTGGTTTTGTGGATACTGGTTGGATCCAGTCGTCACCCAGTTGGAGGTAGTCTTCCATTGTCCGACTTGTCCGGAGCGGCTTGTTGGTTCCGTCGAGCTTTGCTGTAACAGAAAACAACAGGTTTGCATATGTAATTACCCATACTTTTTTAAACCAAATGGTAGTGTTAACTGTTTCATATAAACAAAATCGCATTTTCGATATACTTCCGATTTTAATTTGCTTGCATATACCTACATTAAATTCACAATGTACTGCAGAACCGGCAAAAAATTAATTATCTGCTTTTGAAATTAGCAGACTCCAATCTTTAAGTGTACTACGTTCAGAATGTCATATAAACAGTATGTGATCATTCACAAAATAGTCGTAGGTAACATAAATTGTTTTTTTTTCAATTTATATGGTATAAGTACGATAAAAAAAATTAGATGGTATAGGACACCAAAGGCTCAAAATGTTTTGTTTGAGAGCTGCACCTTCAAAAGTTGCAAAATGTATGTTTCCAATACTAAAGTTTTAAGGGTACACATGCCGCACTCCTGAATAGAGGTACCAGAAAATACACATTTTGCACAGTTGGTTTACTTGGAAAAAAAAACTATTGTTTTGGACCACCCTACTAAGCAACTGTTATTTGTTACGCCCTGTATACAGGTAGATCACAATTAAATTTATACATAAATAATTAAGCACCAATTATACATCACTTTCAGCCTGTAGCATCATTTATTTGCACGGAAAGAGGATTAACAAATCATCCAGGCATTAAACAGTTTTGCACAGATATTCACAAAGTCCTAAGCTCCATGTGCTCTAATTAGCAAAATCACACAATAAATAATTATTTTAATACAACAAGCTGTATAATATACAGTAGGCGCTCTGTATCCGGCACCACATTTTTTCGCCTAAAGTGGGTACAAAAAGTCGGCTAACTTCAGCCAGGTCAAGGTCAGGGCAGAACCGAATACGTTTGCAAATAATCTCAGCTGCTCTATAATCTGGCATTATAGAGTGGTTAGTGCCGGATTATAGAGCGAGTCAGTTGAGTTGTTAAATGCCAGACTACTGAGGTGCCATACTGTTGAGAACTGAATTACTGAGCACCTTGTGTATCATCTCTGCACTCGAGAAATACCAATATTAGTATCTTAAAGAGGAGTGGTAATAGCTAGCAATGAAAATCATACACTTACAAAAGTAATTACGATGTTAGGCAAACTTAAACCAATAAAGAAAGTGAGAATCACATGATAGCTCCTTGATAGGTAACAGGACTGTTCAGATACCAAATGCAAAACAATGATGGTTGGAGAAGCACTTGAGAAATGAAAATATGTCACACATAAAAGAAATTGCATGGAACATCACTATACATAGGACATTTAGGTTCTGCCCATAGAGGCAGTGCATGATGCCGTGTTCCCAATGAAAATATGCAAAAAAGTTACGTAGACAAAAAGAGCACAAAATTTAATTAAGTGTTTTGTCATTTTCCCAACCAAATTGGTTATTAAATAAGGATATCACATCAAAGCTGGGGAATTATCAAATGAAAAGCTTCTTGCTATACTACATTCAAGTGCAAATAAACAAAACGCCAATAATTTTCATTTTTCAAATTGTCTAAAAATGTACATCATTTAACAACGGCAGTAATAAAGAAATCAAAATTCTCAGGTTAATTCAATTATTGTCATACAAGCCACTGATTGGTAGAAAACAGAATTAAAAAACCTATTTTTTCAACCTACTTGAAACTTAATAAAACCATAGAGCGTTTAAAAAAGCGGCAGGGCACCTCAGTGTGACCCCACGGAGTCATTGGATTTGACCCATTTTCAATTGGCTTGTTACATGTGGCATATAGGTCAACTGTGCAAAGTTTGAACCGTGCGTCGGTCCAAGCGTTTGACAGTTATCGTGTTCACGAACAGAGGGACAGACGGACACCATCGACTCCCCTATAAAGCTTGCATCGCTTTGCTCTGCCGCTTAGTAAAATAATAAATACCGTGACAGTAGGTAAGTGGATATCTGAATCACAGTATATACTTTCTTATAAAAACATGTTCTTATAATGGCCGTAACGTCTGCATAAGATCTATAATGCTCAAAATCAACAGAGTTCGTCTATGAAGACACCAAAAACAATAACCATTAAAAACTATAAGACAGCAGCAACCCCAACAGGAACACAATTTTTTTAATTTTTGGACAGGATTTATTTACTTCACTTTAAAAAACTTTCAAAATGGATAATAAAGAATAACAAACGTATTTGAGAAAGAACGTGTAATCACAATACCAAAAGAATTAAAAATAGCAATAAAAGATATGCTGAGGGTCCACAAAGATTTGCAAAATCAGAAAGGATACATCCAAAAGGTAAAGCTATTAATGCAGGCTCTTCTACAGGCTATGAATGCTGAAAAAATTAAAGAACCCCAAAATAGAGGGGAGGGGACTTTTGAAACCGTAACTCATATATGACACGTTGGATCTTCACTGAACCAATAATTTTCGTAGACAAATTTTCCTAGAAACATAATCCCATTTAAGCAAGGCTTTTACGGTGTCAATAATTAACTTTTTTAATAAGAACACCCTGTATATTCAGTATTTGATTTTTTGTTAATGTTGGGATCTTATTAATTTTTTTCCAAATAATTCCCCAAAAGCAAGCTTCACTTTGATAAATCGTAGCGACCTTGTTTTTTGAAGTTAGAGCTGATGGGCCTTAATACACAAGAAATAGAATGTGGCTACCACAGGATGGGAAAATAAGTGCAGACAATCTAACGTCGAAAAGTTCGAGTGGTCTAAGTGCTATACCGTTTGCTGCAACACAATATCTAGACCAAAATATGCTGGATGTTTAAACATTAAAAATAATAGAGCATGATATCGAAAAAAATCAATTAACTTTGAATGGCAAAAATGAAAAATTATTTGAAGCAAGTAATAATGGTAATGGTAAAGCGAAACAAGAACACAAACATAGGTAGAGCAAAAGGAAAAAAGCAACAAGGCAAGAATTATGCACGTTATGACATTATAATGAAAATAGTACAGTCATTTTGTTCGCAAAAATGCTGGATATTATTTTTAGTTTCTTACAAGCAGCAGACAACAATGCAGAAAAATGAAAACAAAACTCTTCTATGTAATTTTTTGTATCTTAGGAATAAAATACGGGTAGGAAGGAGCATTAAATACGGTAATAAAATAAATGCTCAAACTTCTATTTTGCTTATGGATTTTCATAAACTTTGGCTCTGTTTAAAAGTCATTATACGGATTTCCTGTTACAGTTTCAGATAGTTATTTATTTTTGTTTATTTCTCCAAAAAAATCAATAAAACGACAAACTTTTGGATACAACTAAAGGGTGTGAAGTTACCCACATGTCAATAAAATGTATGACGATACTCTTTTGAAAATCTATGAAAGGAAAAAGTTAATACCATGTTTTTGGTTTTGTTACTGGAGATACCACGATAAAAAAACGCGCCGCTTACTTTACCTCTCGCTCTACCTCAAGGTCGTGTGGAAATGGGATTCCAAAAAAACCAACTGTTCCAATGGAAAACGTCAAATTCAATTAGGAAAACGAAATTTCTTCTCCACTTAACCGATCGTGTATTTCCTTACTATTTCTAATAACCACAGGTAGGACATCTGGATTACTGCATAACGGGGCCCAGAACAAACTTTCCAATTGATAAACTATCCCTTCTAATAGGCATACAAGAAGAAAACATAATGTGACCATAAGTAGAATGAAACTTTCTTATTTGATCGATTCAATTGAAAATTCAACTGTCCACATTTATAATACAATTAACCAAAGCGCATGTAAATCAAACATTCAACGGGACGAAAAAATTAGAATAATAATTTGAGTGGTAATCAAATGATTAATGCACAGCTACATCTAGATTTTATGTATGTATTATTTGAGATTAATAAAATAAATAATACTATTTTATAGCAGATGTTAAATTGACATTTTAATAGGATCATTGTGCATTCCAATGACACCTATCATCCTTATTAAAAATGGGACGCGGAGCACGGAATAAAATGAAGTTCAGAACAGAATATTGTTATGGAAACAACGGGAAAACCTAATCTTACTATGTTGAACGTCTAAATTAAATACCTACAGAATTTTCAGATGTTTTATAATGATTTCTATAGCTTCTGATATAAAATAGTTTTGTATTGTACACAACAATAAAGGGGAACTAATCGTTTTGTGGAAATTAATTCACTTGTGAATTAACATCTTTCACTCAATGATTAAAACTACTCCTTCTCGTCTTGTATAATAAATTTCAATTAATTTTGTGTCTATTTTACACCGGTATTTCGGAATGTTTGTTTGAAGCGAGCGGATCGTGTTGACTAGTTTAATATAAACATGACATAATTGGCGCCTAATTACTACTGATAGTACATTTATTTATTTTATTATTATCAAGTGTAATTTTGAATTAAACAAAAAACTTTTTGGTATAAGAGCAATGAATAAACTAAAGTCAAGGAATGTCCTAGGCTGCTTTTTAAATTGAAAACTGTTGAACCAATTAAATTATTGGGTAAGTAACCAATTTTTAAAATATAGTTAACATCTACAAAAATGCTATCTACCTAAGAAACTTACCCAGATTATCAATAGAATAGTCGAAGGTGTCCCACTTGCTTGAAATCAAACGTTCCTGAAGGAATTCTCTCTGTTTAAAATTATATTACGAAATGGCATGCTTATAAATTAACTGGAAAATCAGCGATCCTTCTAAATAATATCTAAATTAAAACATTTTTGTAACGCAAAACTAGGTAAAAGCACAGTACATACAGAAAAGCATTGTCATGTCAGACCCAAGTAGAATTTGGAATTGAAATTAACAAAGAAATGTTTACCAGTCTGCCTGCTTACCTCTTCGTTCATAATATCACTGGACGGAGAGTTTATTTCCTCCATTTCGACTTCCGGGATTGAACCGGACTGTATCAAACTTGTCGCATCCAAAACCGGATGGTGAGAGGGCGTCGGCTCCCAACTGGCGACGCATTTTTCAATTTCCGCCTCCGAACGTCCATGTATGTTGCGCTTTGTACAATTTTGTACGTCCAATTCCATTTGGCAAATATAAACCTACATATTTGTGTTAAATTCGGCAAAATGTTACTTGTCATCTATCTACAAATAAAATATGACAATTGCTTTTTAATCTAACCGAAAATTCGGCCAGAACCACAATTTCATTCTGTAAAATTAGCCCAATCACATATGTTGGTCACAGTAATTGTAACATTACATCAAATGAAAATTTAGAACACTGCAGCGAATGCAAGAAAGAATAGAAACACTAAAAGTAGATTGTAACACCAGAACTTCAGTCAGTTTAAAAACAAATTAATGTCACGTAATCTTCTAATAGCAATAGTCAACTATAAGAACGACTGCAAGTTACAGTCAAAATCCAATAAATGCAAAACAATCAATTTAAACATCTCAACTGTCTCCTAGGTAGGAGTAATGCGCTTATTACGTAAAAGTTGTGCAATTTCTGATTTTATAATAATAGTAATGCTGCTAGATTATTATTGTTAGAATAGAAATATGGAAAATAACTCAAGTAGACCATGTCACTGTGCGTTCGTTGTAAAGCATCGCATAGTGTTTTCAATTAAAAAGTTCTTTCTTTATTTTAAATCTTTAAAAACACAATTTTTGTCATTAACATTATACAAGACGAATATTATATAAACAATTCAATCGTTTTTCAAATATTAGTCACAAATGTGAAGAATACATAGTATTTATGGCATTTATTCAATTTTTTTAAACATTTGGTTTTATTTTGGGGAATGCTACTTGGTGATAAATGATTCTTGTAAAAATAGCGCTATGGAAAAAACAATTATTTTTTCAATATTACAACTTCTTTGAATCGTAAAAATATTTTTTTTCACTTACGTTTGTATTCTATAAGGTAACACATTTTTAGAAAAAGTTTTTTAATTTATTTATATAAATGGCTCAAAGTCAGATGTATAGGGCGGTTCAAATTCGTGGCTCAATATTTGGATCTCCGTAACGGTGAGAGATACAGTGTACGTTAAATGGTGGATAAAGTTGCCCTTTTTTGGGACTAAAAAAACGCATTTGAAATTGTTGAAAAATCTTTGAAATAGCAGATTTCACCGAAAAACTGAAAACCTAAATGGTCGAAAGTGGACGGTTTTACGGCTCACAGGCACACAGAGGCACTTACTGTAATTGTTCGTTTCACCCACGCGACGGGTACCACCTGAATCATTCCCGCGTGCCACTGAGAACCACTGGTTAGGAACCTCTGAGATACAGGACAAAAAAAGAAAGTCATTTGAATACATCACCATGATGACAGCCATGTTGATTCAGCAACATCTTGTTACACGTGAATGTTGAGAAATGAATGTAAACATTTGATTTTCAAATTTTTCTTGTAAATTTATCTAAAAGTATAGTGTGACACGTCATTATTTAACTTTTTTTGTTCTCTTATCTCATTGCGTAAAAATCCAATATGACGTCTATAAGAAATAAGAAAGTAGTAGCCATTTCTACATCTAGTGTACTATGGAAACTCTAATAACAGACTCAGATTCTCCGAAAAAAGTGTCAACAGAAGGTGTGAACGGGAACCATCCATTTCAGAGCGTTTAAACTGGGGAAAATAATACGAAATTTGCCATTTTCAGCTTTTCGGCGATATTTCAAATGCGTTTTTGGTCACAAAAAGGGGCAACTTTGCTCTCATTTAACATACACTGCATCTCTCATCAACTCATTAAGTGTTAACTAGACTTTATTGCATCATCTTCCTTTCCTTCTTTTTGGCATTTGGTTTCAAAAATAAACAAATAAAGACGCGAACTCACCTTTTTACAAGGCATATTTTTTAAGTAAGAATCGTTTTGAAATGTTTCGTCTGCAGAGTTACGGGAGGAGTCTCGCGCATGCGCATAACATTTCTACATCTGTTGGTAAGTGACAGTCGCCATTATGGACCCCTCGATAGTGTTAAGGGTTGTTTACAAGTGTTTAAAATCCCCCTCCAATCGCAAGTGCCGCCAACTGTGTTGTACTTGGTGTGATACGTTTTCTTAATATATAAACAGACCTCTGCTTCCGCAAATGCAAAAGTTCTGTATATTTTTTCACTTCCGCTTCCGCTATTGAATAACGGAAGTATACTTTCAAATATGACAAAGTACGTTGTGCGCTCTGATTGGCTGAAGGGACAGTGCGTGACGTGAGCCGTACACGTCTGACAGCCGGCTCGGCTGACAAACCCCACTCGATTTGTTTGTCTTTGTTTACTTCCATTCATCTCATTAGATCGTCGCGAAAATTCGTGCGTTTTATCGTATAGTTTAATAATAGTATATTAAAGTACAAGTGTCATTTGACGAAGATTGTCGCACGAGGTAGTTTGCCGCATAAGCCGCGTAGCGGCGAATGCGGCAAAAGCCGAGTGCGACAAGTAGACAAATGACACGTGTGCTTTATACTATTTTTTCTATTTCGACTTTTATTTTAAATAATAAATTAAACAAATTATAAATATTGCCTTTAGGCGTTGTTAGGTAATTTTAAACTATCATTCAGTGTATGTTGGTAATAGACACAATTCATTTATTTTCACGTTGGCTAACCTGATTCCTGTATTTTCAAACTTCAAACTTTTAATTATTTGGTCCAAATTCCATTTTGCGGCAGTTATGAATTATGATGAATACGGATGACAAACACGTCTCTTGTACCCCACCAGAGATCCAAGAGATTGCCAATGAAGCGACGTTAAATTTACTGCCTGTAAAATCGAAAGTAAAGTACGAGGAGTACAAAATTTTTGCAAACTGGCTGGCCGAGAAGGGGAGTTCAAAAAGTAAGCAAGAATGTACTGCTGGCATATTTACTACGCTAAGTAAAAATAAAAAAAGTTCTACCCTTTGGAGTATATATTCAAAATTAATCGGAATTAATACAATCGGTCAAGTTCCTCGTACGTTATTTACACTTTACAGGTTATGTTTAGTTTTGATTTGACGGATACCGTTGACAGCAAAAAAGCGAGGGGTACCAATCCAACAAAATAAAAAAAATAATGCGTTTCTATTTCTTTCGGCATCATTTCTGTCTAGAAACGCACGCAAACTGGGCCAATCAAGTACGGTAGAAAAACTAAATTTGTAATACTATTATTCTACATTTTATCAAGTTAATAATCGTATTTACACTTCTGCATCTGCAAAAAAATATGTTGTCTTCTGTTTCCGCTTCTGCTTCCGTTGCATCACTAATTATTTTGTGCATTACATTGCCAAAATATCAGGTGTCATGATTTGTTTAATTGAAAGTCACATGTTGTCTGTTATGGAGATACATAACAATAAAACCTTTATAGCAGATGTTCAATTGACATGTGAATAGGTTTGAACAAGTAAGCCAAATCTCTCTTTAGCAGCAGAGTGGATAAAGCGGTCTCTTTAACGGCAAGGGTAGATAAAGTGAAGCAAATAATAATAATAATAAATGCCTTTATTCACTAGGAATGGGCGAGGTTCAGCAATGACATGTATGCCATGTGCTGCTCTTCCACCTAACCCGATGATTGTGCAGATTAATAACATCCGACATTATTACTAAAAATGGGACGCGGAGCACGAAATAGAATGAGGTTCAGAACAGAAACTTTCCATGGAAACGACGGAAGAACCAAACCATGCTATTTTTGACGCTTAAATTGCATTCGGAATTTTTAAAAGTTTTATAATAATTCAAATAGTAAACATATTTTGTTACATTCGCCATTCATGTTTATATTTCAATGAAATGAACTATCTTTAGTATATGCATAACGTGAAATCAGTTTATAATTGACTCAATGCAAGAGAAAAGGAAACTAAGGTTCAGTCTGTCACACTTCCACTAGTGGTCTTATGGAGTTCTTTTTTTTTTACAAAAATCGCGCTTGCGCGCACATATTTCAAAATGCAGAAAAAGCTAAAAGAGATACAAAGAAATGTATAGGATATTTTCGTGTCAGAGTTCGTGTTGTGGTAATCGCACGTAAAATGACACGAGATATAAGACCTTTTTTGCGCAAATGATAGACCATGCAATTTTGCACAAAAAACTCTACAACTGTTTACATGTTATAAGTATTCAATGGTATGTATTGCAGCGGACAATACGGAAAATAAACGCATTCATTTAAAATAGTTATTATTCATGAATAGTTAGTTTTTTGTAGGAAATTTAGTCCTCTACAAATACATTTTTTCCAAAAATATGGAGCGACCATTTTCCATGCAACTACAGAACTTTTTGTTAAACGTAGCTCGACATGAAGAAATGGGGAAAAACAGATGGAAGCGATGTAGATTCAAACACCTCCAGCAAATAATTCAAGTGGAAATGCCATAATAACAAGAGAGCGCTGTCACGTTTCAGGTTTTCTCATTCAGCTTGACTTTTGAGCATGCGCAACAGGAAGCACCCATTCATAGACCGAAGTTCACTGCAGTTATGAGAAAAACATTTAGGGATCAAACCATACCTACCTAATAAAAGCTGCCAGAAAGCATTTTTCCACTTTGTCACAGCTCATTTTTTAGACTTCTAGGCAAGACAGATTGCACACTCGTCTATACATTTAAATTTATTCAAAGCGCGTGAATGGATATTTCCGGTGTGGGCGTGAGATCTGGGTTATTACGTAGGTATATTCACTAATCTGAATATATTGTAATTTGTTTATTTTCTTGTGTTAAGTTGCGTTTCTTATCGTTTTGTAAAAGATTTGTTTATTTCTCTGTAAGCCGGTTATAAGAGTAGCGCTTATAACTAAAAGTTAATTAATTTTGTAAACAGATGTCGCAGGTGCGCGCTAGATCATAATTGCGCGTATTTCAATAATAGAATAAGGAAGTGGAAACACTCATAGTTTGTTAAATAGAAGAGGAAGTGTTAACGGGACCTTTCGCCTTTAGCCGTTTGTGGGAAGTGTGTTCGCGGTATATAAGAATTTTCGGATGTAAGTGAAGTGAAGTGAAGTGAAGTCCAGGGTAGAGAGTAAATAATCAAGTTCCACAATGAAGTGAGGGTGTGTGTGTGTGTGTGTGTGTAATAAAGAAGAGAAGTTTCCGAAGGGACATCAGTTTGTTCTTATGATTGTAATTTGTACGTTTTTAGGTTGGACACCGCGGTTTAGCGGTGATAGTATTAAAATTTTATTTAATTGCTTCAATCGAACGCATATGCGTGGTCCTTTGTGTATTGGCTTTGTTGCCACTCTGCATTACAGTATTATTCTTTGTTTATTATAGAATAAATTTGTGTGTAAAAGAACAGTTTCGTGTTAGAATGAGCACAAGTTACGATCAGGATTTCAAGAGTTTCATGTTAATTGTTTTTATAGGCGACTTTATTTAATTAAGCTAAGTATAACAAGGATAATAAGGACAACGACATCTGTAAGTTTGGGAATTCTAGTTACCAAGAAGAGCTGTTAACACTGCAATCACCTGGTACGGTCTCCAGAAATTATCTAAGCAACTAGAATTTTCTGCCCTTCAATTTTTAACAAACAGGCATTTTGCGATTCATTATTAGTTTTGACAGTTTTCAACGTTTTTTAATTTATATCTAACATTCATCTTCAATAAAAATTATTTTCAGCGTATACCTATTTGCGACATGCCATTTTACAACAATTTTACTGAAGTATATAATGTCTGACGCGTAACTTTTGTAATACACGCCAATTTTTAAATAATAGAGACAAGGCGATGTAACAACTGAAGTGAGAGTTCAGTTTGACGGTTTACCTTGTTACATATAACTTTAGCGTTTTTAACAAACCGAAGCACTTTAGAGAGAATACACATTGGCACTAAATCAAAATGTATGATCATGGTATGGTTCATTCTAGTTGTAATTTTGAATGTGCTTTTAAAAAGGATTTGTCATATTTTTCTTAAATAAACACCAAACATTGTTATACCTGAAATCCGTTCTGTTTGGCAAAACTCCACATTTCACCAAAGAATTTAACTTTATCATTGATATTATCAACAATGATAAAGTTGAAGTAGCCATCGGTTATGGTTTTTTTAAAAGATTTCATCAACGACTGCCGGTAGGAGGCCTCCATTTCTTCCTCGTATTCGTACACCATTTCTTTAACTTTTGTTTTCCGTCCATCTTCATCCAGCTCCTTCTCCTGTTCCACCATAAAGTAATCATCTAAGCACAAAATTCGTGGAGCGGATCCCCCATTTTCCACCTAAAATTGTAGTGTTCAAATGGGTACATTTTGATAATTCAACTTACCTCTTTGTCCTTGATCAGTTTTGCTAAAAATGATTTACCACTGCCAGGAGGACCTCTCAAAATTATAACAATTCGAGGTGGTCTATTGTACCTACCAGGTGGCAATAATATGTCGTCAATTGAAGTAATGTTTGATTTGGGTGCAGAACCAGGAGCGGTACTTTTGCCGGAAAATTTCAATTTTGCTTCTTTATCACTACTAGTATTAGTATTTTCAGTCTCTTTTAAATCTTTATTCTCAAAATCGTCCTCATCATCATATCGTTTATCTTTAGAAAATGCTATTTTGCTATCAGTCGATTTTTGGTCATCAAAAGAACGTATATTATCACTTTCTTTGTGTGTCTTCTCAGTTGTTTCTTCATAATTTCTATCAAAACCACGGCGCCCTTTGTCAGTGCGATATTCTTTCACATGCCGTTCTTTTTCGTCATGATCATAGCGATCTCTATTGTCATAGGGCTTTCTTTTTCGGTCTTCAACAAATTTACGATCTCTGTCACCTACATTCCTTCGGCTCCATTCATCGTATGGCGCTTTACCATGGTCATCATATGGCGCTTTACCACGATCATCATATGGCGCTTTACCACGATCATCATATGGCATTTTACTACGATCACTATAAGGTATTTTCCCAGCATCTTCATACTTGGGAAATTTATCATTTGACGAGTACTTCCTAGTATCATGCCTGAGATTTCTGGTGCTAGCTATAACAAATTCAGGATATTTATCGACCATGTCAGAAAGCCACTTAGGTCTTGATGGATATGGAATTCGATTTAAAGGCTTATGACGATAATCAAACGAGTAAAATATTTCCAAGATTATTTCCGGTTCATCTGGAAGAGTCATTACAAAACTTGAAATGTAAAAAAAAAACATACCTGGCAAAGATTTGTGACTGTAATCTATTACATTAGTAGTTTTCCAAACTCCCTCTTCTTCCATTTGCGACTGATCTTTATTGGGTAAAGCTTCATTTGCAGAGACATCTGGAGGTTCAAAGTTCAAATTATTTTTAATGGGTCCACTAATTAAATCCTCAGAGTTTCGACCAAATGAGTTTGTGTCAAAATTATCATTTACATTCCGTTTTGAATCGAACACATCGCCTAATGGTTCATTACCCCTCCAGTTATCTTCATCAAATTCATCTTCTCTCATATTAAACTTGTTATCTCCAGAAAAATCGGGCCTTTTGTTAAAAGGAGGTGGAGCCTTTGTAAAGCTATTGGGACCACCTAGTGGTACTGGCGGGCGTCTGTTGAAATCATCAAAAATCTCACTTTCTCGGGCACCTGGTCTGTTAAATGGTGGTATAGGTCTATTATCGGGACCTCTATTACTAAAATTTTCCGGCCCTCTACCAAATTTATCTACATTTTTGTCAAAATCCCTATTGAAGTTCCCAGTTCTGCCAAATCCCTCCGGCTCACGGTTGAAATTCAGATTGTCTCGATTGAGGAGATTCGGTGGTCTGTTCATATTTGGACCTTTATCAAAACTGGGAGGTAATCGACTAAAATTATCTAAATTTCCTCTGTTCGCATTGTCTGGCCCCCCTTTATTTAAATTATCAAAATTCCGTGTATCTCTGTTGGAGTTATTTGGCCCTCTATTAAAATTATCTGGACCTCTATTGAAGTTATCCGGAGGTCTATTGAATCCGTCATTAAAGTCATCAGGACCTTCATCAAAGTTATCATCCTCGTCCTCGAAATTCTCGCAATCTTTATCAAACTCCTGGGAATCTCTATAGTCGTCACCAAAATCATCAGGGCCGCCATCAAAGTCATCTGGGCCTCCAGTAAACTCATCAGGGCCATCGCCAAAGTCTTCAGGCCCTCTACCAATACTACCAGGGCCTCGACCAATACTACTAGGGCCTCTACCAACACTGCCAGGGCCTCTGCCAATACTGCCCGAGCCTCTACCAACACTGCCAGGGCCCCTATTGAAACTGTCATTACCTCTAGGCAAACTTCCAGAACCTCTGAAATTACCGCTTCCTCTAAAGTTATTCTGATCCCTTCCGAAACCATCGCCATCTCTGAAGTTATCGGGGCCTCTCATAAAATCTCCAGGACCTCTGTTGAAGTTATCATCTCTATTAAAGTTGCCTGGACCCCTATTGAGGTTATCAATTCCTCTGATACGATTATCATTACCTCTATTAAAGGTGCCTGGTCCTCTCAGGCCAGTATTAAAATTATCTAGTCCTCTATTGAAGTTGTCAGACCCACGATTAAATGTATCAGGTCCTCGATTGAAGTTATCAGGTCCTCGATTGAAGTTATCAGGTCCTCGATTGAAGTTATCAGGTCCACGATTGAAGTTATCAGGTCCACGATTGAAGGTATCAGGTCCACGAATGAAGTTATCAGGTCCACGATTAAAGTTATCAGGACCGCGGTTGAAGTTATCAGGTCCTCGACTGCCGTTATCAGGCCCCCTGTTGAAGTTGTCAGGTCCTCGGTTAAAGTTATCCGACCCACGGTTGAAGGAATCAGGGCCTCTATTAAAGCTGTCAGGTACACGACTAAATTTATCTGGTCCTTGGTTGAAGTTTCCTGGTCCTCTAAAGTTACCCAGTCCCTTGTTAAAACTGTCAGGGGGGCGATTAAAGTTATCAGGCCCTCTGTTAAAGTTACTAAAGTTGTCACCCATACCAAAGTTCTCAGGATCATTATTGTAATTAGATGAACGATTGAAATCATCGCGATCTTGAGAAAAGTTATCAAAACCTCTGTTAAATTGATTGGGTCGATTTCTATTTTCATTGAAGCTGCCTCTAGAATAATTTTCATCTCTATCTTGATCGTAGTTATCTCCCATTCGATTACAGGTAGGATTTGCGTTAACATTCCCAGATCCTCTGTTAGTGTTGTTTGAATTTTGTGTCAAATTCGGATTTTGATTTAAATTTGGTTTATCCAAATTTCCAGCTCCGCCCAAGTTATCAGGTCGGTTTGAAAAGTACGTGGAATCCCCATAACTATTAGAACCTTCTTCCTCATAGTAGTCGTTTTCTCCCATTTGTGAATCAGGTCGAGTTTGACTGTCAGGATTTTCCACCGGACAGGTCGGCTTTTCAAAACTAAAGAATTCATCGCGCGCTTCATTTGAATATTCATCTTGATTACACTCTGCAGGGCTGAACTTCGGGGAATCCATTTTTGCTGGCGGTGGTGGCGCTTTATTTTGAACCATCGATAGCATATTCAACAATTTTTGATCGCCAAGGATGCTATTTATACCTCTCGAAATTGCTTCTAAATCTGGTTTAGCCGTTTCACTTTTTTTCTCAACTTCATCCTCTTCTGGAGCATCAGCATCGGTGGTTTTCACTAGATCCAAACCTGGTATTCCATCCGAAGCAGAGGACTTAAGAAAATCATTAGGACCCTCATCTTCTTTGTTATCATCCTCCTTATTTTGTTGATCAGAAGATTCAACAACTGATAATCCCGACTTTTTAAATTCGAGGGGTTGATTGTTCAGATTTGGGGGAGGCCTCACAGAAGGAATACCTTCTTCTTTTTCGGCTTCTGGCTTTGAAGCAATTGCAGAAACGACAGGTGTAGAATTAGATTCAGTGTTTGAGGGCTGTAAGTTTTTAGGTTGTGCCTCTAAATCAGGCTTATTAAGCAGCGGCTGTGGAGAAGAGTCCGTAAGGCCCAACCGCTTTCTCTTCATCTGCTCTCTACGTTCCAAAAGCTGCGCGCGCCACGTTTCCCATTTCTTTTCATACTGTCTGTATTGCTCTTTATCGGGATGATTAGCATTCTGTTGCTTCCACTTTTGGAACTGTGCCTCCCAGTCATTAAATTGTTTGTCAAATTTCTTCTCAGCTTCGGACAATTCTTCGGGATTGGACTTTGCTGGAGTAACCGCAGGTTTTGGTTGTGGCGGAATTCGAGGAGTTTCTTCTTTTTTTGGCTGCTGAGGCTGATTTCCACCCCATTTGATACCTTCATTTAAATCCATTTTATTTCGCTTTATATTTTCATTCTCATTAGGATTAAAATATGGACGTTTGGCGCCATATTCTGGTTTATTGTCAAAATGAGATCCGCCTCTAGGGGGTGGTTGATTGAAACGATTCGGACCTTGTGGGTTTCGATTTTGATTTTGCCAATTTGGGCCTTGTGGTTCTCTGTTATAATTTTGATTTCTCTGATATCTCTGTTGGTTGTTCACATCTTGATTTGGATATGAACCTTGACCGGAATGTGGGTTGTTTCTATACTGGGAATATTTGTTATCGTATCCTTGCTTTGCATGTTGAGGGGGTAGGTGCTGGGGGCCAATATTGTAGTTAGTTTGAGATGATGGAGGTGGCACATTCATTCCGTAAGCATTGGTTGGTTGATGGGTTTGACTGGTTGGTTCATCTGGAGGGGGAGGTGGCTTACTTTCTGTAGGAAGTGGGGGAGCTGGCATGAAAGAAACTGAAGCTTGAGTTGGCACTGCAGTTTGTGCCATAGCGTTCACCGACTTTTGATACTGAAATGAAAAAAATACAGTATTGCGCAATAATCAACATTGGCAAACCTCTGCCCCATATTGTTGTTGCCATTGCTGAAATTGTTGCTGCCATTGGGCCCACTGCTGCCAATTTTGATGCTGCATCTGAGCCCATTGTTCGGGAGTGTATTGATTAGTTGCAGGATTAACTACATTTGGAGCTGGATTTATAACTGGTGGTTGGACAATACCAGGTTGACCAAGATTTCCTCCGGGCCATTGTGGCCACGACATTCTGCTATATAGCGACAAATACATTGAAGACAATTAGTTGACCAAAATCATTCTACATACCTGATAGAACACTATCAAAGGAATGTTTCTTCAGGAAGATCTTACTCCTGCGATAATTTAGAACTATAATCAGAATTTTGGATTAAATCTATACAAAGTATTTTGTTTAAAAACACCAAAATAGTTTTGTGTGAAGTACACCCTCACAATAAAAATGTGACCAACTAAAAAAAGTAGAAAAACTGATAATGCATCCCCAAAAATTTAAATACGACCAGTTTCTGTTCTAAAAAATAGTTGAATTCTGCAATGTAGTGTTATCTACAAAAATAAATTGTTTAAAATATACCTAGATAAATAATACAATTTAAAAATTTTAATTTACACACATTATAATGCATTCGATGCTACAGTCAATATGTAAAAAATAGTTTCCTTGCAGTTAAATAATACATAAAATTAAACAAATGCGAAATCGGTAAGTTTGAATACAGTTCCGAGCGCAAAGCATCAAGAATTTTCGACACAAATAAATAAAAGTAAAAATGTAAAATAAAAAGGTTTTTTTAATCAAATGAAGAAAAATATCTTCCAAATATTTTCAAAATTTTTGTGAATGTCACAACCGCTAATATTACTTATATTGTTGCTTACAAGCTATATGTCCATTCGGCTACCAAATAATTATCACTAATTACTTATTAAATTTAAAATAATTTATATGATTGGTTTGCAGAATATGTATCGATAGAAATTCACAGCTGTACGTATCTAAGCAATGTCAAAAAAAGACATAGGAATTTATGCAAAGTGTTTCGAAGAAGATTATTACGCTTATAATATTTATTCGCATCCATCTTAATTAATACCAAAAAAATTGGTGTAAACGAGTTCTGAAATCGAAAATGGACGATAGTGAAATACATCAAGCGCTGTAGTCCATCCATTAAAATAATGAGCGTTAAAAAACTACAGTTTATATTCGAGATTCGATATTTAATAAAAAATGAAAACCTACCTAGTCCTCACGCTAGGTTCAACGATCGTTAAATAATTGTGTTGCTGGTAAAATTAATGCACGGATGAAAATACATTCGTAGTACATTAACCATCCGAACACATTGCATACACTTCTTGTGAAATATATGGATCATTGGTACGAAAATTGATAAAATAGGTTATTCGTTGTACATTTCATAGCGTTAAAAGTATATCCCTACATTATCAGCTACGCTACTATACATAAAAGCATGTAATCGACAACCGTATAGCGTCACGACTACTTACTAAATGCACTGTTAGTGCAAGTTTTTGAATGTAAAAATGAATTGAATAAATAACATACCATATACGTAAATTGAAACAGAAAGGAAAAGTAGAGATCTGTGCCGTCTATGAATAGGTAAAGGAACTGCTAACGCGTCTCACGCGAGTTTGCACAAGTGTGTGTTGTTGTGTAAACAACACCTTGTAGACGTTATTTCCGTTTACATTTAAAATAATGGCGGGACACCTTGCGTGTTAAAATATGTAGGAACATCAGGTCGTTTCCGATAAGAGATTTTGTTATCGGACGAGATTTACTTAACGCACGTGTTTTTATAGCTGTTAGAAGAGAAAACGGATTATGCAGATGTTCAACAATGTGCGCTTCAGTTCGGCATAAGTGCGGACGCGTTCTGTCGAAGTGGGCGTTATCAAGACGAATTTTGATTGGTGCCTTATTTATAAAAACCGGCAGAAAGAGTGGTGTTTCATTAAATAGTTTTTTTAGCGACGGTTTAGAAAACGTACGTTTCTTTGCTCTGTTCCTCATTTTTATAATATTTCTGTACAGAATAACGTTAACTGACGTTGTTACATAGAAGTTCAACGTGTGTTGTCGGTATTCGGAAAAAGTTAGTCAAGTTGAAGTATAGAAAAAAATGTTAGTGCACCGTGAGATCTTTTGTCAAGGTTCTCTTATTATCAAAGTTTAAACTTTGTACCGTCTGAATAGCCTCTGGTAATTCTCCTTTACATTCATCGAGTTAATGTTGTTTGTTACCAAGATTTGTGTGTTCAAAACTCGGTTCAGAGCTGCCTGCGTTAATTAGGATTATGAAAAGAGAAAAAAAACTAATTAATTTGAAGATTTTATTTGTCGAACGATTGCGTACGAGGTAATTTGTCTAAAAAAGCTCTCTCTTTCTTTCAGGAATTTTGTGTTGTTTTTTCATTTTTTTTAAGTAAAATTTTGTCATTAATTGTGTGTTTATTGGAAGCCATTGTACGACCCGGATAGTTTTCATATAAATTTTTCTTCTCGTGTACAAGAATTTCGTCAGGAGTTAATAAAAATTTGTGTAAATCCTTTGGAAAGTTCAGTTAATCGAGGCTACCGAGCCTCCCAAATTATTAATTTAGTCAATATTATAACTTTTCTTTGTAGGATATGTCGGAACTGTAAAAAGAAAAATTGGGCGCCTATGGCCTGGTGAAAGCAAGCCTTTGACATCTGTTGCTATTGCGAATTGAAATTTCGGTAATGATCAGTTAAGCATGACATTTCTGCATTGTTTTGCAATAAACTTGCTTCGCTCCCACTTGTTTGATATCTATTCACTCGCGGAGCTAGAATTCCTCATCAAAAACGCAAATGGTTCAAGATTACTCAGTCAGGACACCCCCAAATTTCACAGAAAACCTTTCCTTAGACTTAGAGGACATGGCGTTTATAATACCTTGGCACACGCAGGATAGGCAAGAAGCCCGAGTTTTATGCGTATCAATAATTAAATAAAATAATACCTTGGCGCATCCGTAAAAATAAATAAACTTGGTAATTTTTAAACGACTGAAACATAACACATGCTTACGAATAAACAAACAAAAAAACAACAAAAATTTAAATGTTAGACTTCTGTATGCACAGAAAATTTTATAGCACAATAAAAATGCAAAATCTTAATATATATATAAATACACAACTTATACTCCTGTGTGTGTGATGGTTTGTTTAAGCACTGAAAGGAAATTAATCATTTCATTTATTCATAAAGTTGGTATATTGCGTAAGGAAGCTAAATGGGAATTAGAAATATAAAAAACAAACGCTGAAAATAGAGTAAATTAATATTTATGCTGCAGTACGTGTGTATCTTCGGGATATAATAAATGAAGCGAGTCATTATAATTAAAGTAAGAGCAGGAAGAGGCGAGAAACATACAGTAACCGAATGATTAATGACAAAAAGCTTACAATAGCGCGGAGTTGGTATTTTTACAATCCGTTGATAAAGCGCTTATTGGGTCAAAATGTACACCGGTGATACCTTCAAATTTGAGCAAAATAGTGGGAAAGCAGCATTCGTTAAGTGGCGTTACGCAGTGTCAAATCTGCGCCGCTCGTTTTCGCAAAGCGCGTCGTGCAATCTTAAGAAAATCCTTCCACTAGGTGGATCCCGAAGATAGAAACTAAGCCAAGAGCCAGAAATCATATCCATTGAGCCAACGTCGCGCTGCGGATGAAGCTTTTCGCCACATTTCCGAGAAAATCAAGAAAGCGATGAATATTTTCCACAACCCCAGGATTCTATAGTCGGTCCGTGCAGAAAACAGCTGGAGGCCAATTTCAATTCCATATCGAAGAAACGGTCTCAGCTAGAAGTTTATAGTCGATCCGTGCAGAACGCAGCTGGAGGGCCAACAATTTCTATTCTGATTGGAAGCTGTGACCCGAACCCATCTCCTGGTGCAGAAACATTAAAGGTATTTTTGAACAATTATTCAATCGCTTTGTAATATTGCCGTTTTCCGTCGTGTTACCAGTTGCTGCAGTAGCCCTCGAGGTAGCCTCGCTATATATTTGAACTAGCGTCGTAGTGTCTTGATTTAGTTACAAACTTATTAAAAAGATTTTAAAGAATTTTATAATCGAGCGCTATTTGCTATTGTTGTATACTTAAGTAAATGCGATTCTACACACCTACTTGCAATTTTGCATCAAGTGTTTGTGGACACCGAGTGTCAGTAGAGTTTAGATTCCCCCCAGAAATGACCTGGTTTTGAGCCGATTTGACCGCAAACAATAAATACAAATTTAAAATGAACTGATTTGAGTATATTGATCAAATAAAAATACATCGGAGTTCTTAGTTTCTATTACATTTTTCTTATTCAAAGGTTTTACGGTTACGAAGAGTACTGAAAGTATAATCCTTATATTGTGGCCCCGTTTGTTTCTAACTATCACCTATTTAATCCTCAATAACAATGATAAACATGGCAATTTTATACAAAAAAAAACATCACCTTATAGCTAGCAAAAATTGGAAATATCCTTATTTTAAATGATAATACAATTTCAAAGGAAAAATCAATTCCTTCTAAATGGGTTCAAATAATTATTTTATACGATACAACTCAGTCAATTTACAAATACCGATTTTTCTGATTACTTTCAATAAAATTTAATGTAATTTCTTAAAGAGAACCGCTCGTTGTTTTGAATACAAATCAACAATAATTTCGTTGCCTCAATTATAACGTTTTCCGGTGGTACAAATCAGAAAGGCGTTGCTCAAACAATATGGTCCCTTAAATATACTATAGAGCGAACATTGGATCTCCGGAAGGAATACTGCTGAAGTTTTCCGAATATTTTTACGGGTACGCCTTCGTCTTCGCATGCAAATGATCAGGCAATGAACTTTCTATTTATATCGTCTGCTATCAAACAACTTTTCACTTTCGCGATTAAGTTATTATTACCTCGCTAAAAGGCTACAAGTTCAATATTACACGTCGAAACAGGGTTAATTTGTCCCGTTTAACTTTCTAATTAAAATTTTTAATTAATCGAACTGTAACTCTAAACTTATTTATGTACCGGAAAAAACCGCTCGTACCTTTATAATTTTTCGATGGTTCTGAATACAAATTTTCACGTACATTTATTTTATGATGACGGCTCAACTCGTATTAAAAATGCCCTTTCTCTTACAACCAACTAATCCCCCTCCCCTCCCCTACACTACGCGATAGCAAAATTGTAAAATTATTCCCAAGCTGCGTATCTTTACCGACGAACGGATATGATTCAGCTGTACGGTAGAGAAATACGGTACTATGAACCTTGGCCTATCCCGCCAAACATGGAACGAGAGAACATCAAAGATGGTCTGACGGAACCAGGAATGAACCCCGGGTCCTCTCAGTTTGTAGTCCAATTTTAATTTGTGTTATGTTCGTATCGTATATGCGGATTCCGTAGATATAGCGCAAATAAAAGTTTTTCGCCGTTTGGATACGATATTAAATTAAACTTACCCGAATCCATTCCACATAAAGCATGCGAACTTTCATCTCAGCAGCCAGCCGCTGTAGAATAAAGAAGTGACAATGACAATCTTTGTTCCTTTACACACATTTAAAGATACGAAAAATAAGGACCGAATTCCTGCGCAAAGCAACTCAACTCGATTACCTACCTTTACGTCATTTTACATTTTGGCGAGTAGCATTTAATTTAGGTTCTAACAGTCACGTATTTGCGGTAGCTTGTCGCGTAATAAATATCACTTCAAAGAACTTCTACACATTTCCATAGAAGCGATAAAGCGTTCGTAATCATCGAACCGTGATATGCTCGAGTGTCATTAAATTTACTAAAAACAAATGTTAAAAACGTTCTTGGCCAATTAAGCCTTTGTTTCTATGCATTAAAAGGCAGCAACATTTCGATACGGCGTGAAATGAGTTTTCTATCTAAAATGCGCAAAACTTTCATATTGGAACATGGACTTGGAACAAGGAAACAGAGGCTCCTTTGGTCTCAGGACTCAACTAGCCCACAGTTTTCGAAAATTCGTAGTCCGTTAACGATACTGTATAGAGACAAATCATAATTGCGCAAATGTGCAACTCAAAACTGTCTACATTTTCGATAAGGTTCTTTAAACAAACGAAATTAATGGGAGTGTTCAATTTGCAACGTACATTGGGAAGAAGAGATTCTGCAAGAGCATATGGCGGTCACATATTGGTCCTTCAGCCCGAATAAAAAATTGTTCGTTTTATTTAGTAAATATTATTGATGTTATGATTAGGTGAATAATATATTTTTAAAACGATGTGTAACGCGAGAACGACAGAGAAAAGTAGGAATTTGTTTTTCTTTATCTTTTTTCCATACACATCATCTAACCGTAAATAGAATTAATTTCGTGTCTTCTGTACGATACTTATTTGGAACTGTCGTTAAAATTGAGTGAAATGCTATTTACAAGGAAATGCAGCAATAATGGTGCCAGTATGGCGCATTCAACTGGAATCGTAATCGGTATGCGGGACGCCATAAAATTGTTTTTACAGTAATTAAAATTCACTCCTGGATCAAGAGCACTACGATAACGCAGTCTCAGTTTGTAGTCAAAAGTCTACGGTTAAACAATTTAATGTTCACGAGTCTTACATAAATGGAAAAATGTAGGTTTATGCGAATTATATGGTTTAATTATTTTGTAAGTGTCATCGTTAATAATAGTTAAACAAAATTATTTTTAATATGTGTTGAAATTAAAAACGTAGTTCTGCACAATGAAAACTAAGTATGGATTACACTTTAAAACCACCTCCGCGCTATTTTCGTCTCATTGGTTTTTCAAACCAACAAAGATACAGTTTCAACAGTATTTAACCCATCAAAAGATTGCATATGTTCCTTACCAAGAAGTATCAAGCTACCCGACCAGAAAAAAACATCACATACATCCTGATTATGATGTGAGAACAAGAAATCGAAATTCCAAATAAGTAGTTTAGAAGAAAGAAGCAACGAAGATTAAAATTATTAAATAGTTTTAATCTTTCTCTCTATTTTTATTAAAGCGAACCTTTGCAGTTCCAATCACTTTGATTTGTTCATTTCATTTTGTTTAAAAAAATTACATCACTATTAAAATCCGCGTAAGTCACATATTTCTTTTTTTGTTTTGGATCCACGTTCATAAGAAATGATTCTTGTTTGAATCATAAATGTACCCGTACCACCCGTTTTTTTACTACAATCACAATTTTTCCAATAGAAATCCAGAAAAAAAAATGAATTTTTCCATTATTGTTTCACTAGTGCGACAATTGCAGCTGAGCAATAACTTTTATCTTCATTTTGCGAGTAGGTACCCAGTTTCAACACTGCGTTCTCCAACATACGTACATCATAATATCTCCATAACCTACTAGTGATTTAATCAAGTGATCAATGTGGTACCGTTTTTCCTTCTTACTTCTGGACATGAATTACACCAGAAGCTCGACCAGAAGTACTGAACACCCGGTACATGGATGAACTCAAGAGGGTGCGTCCTTACGAGAAACTGTAACTTCCGAACCAATTTATTTATTTTTCTAGGAGGTGGAAATGTAAGGTTGAAGTGTTTTTAATTTATAGCGTCGTGTTTTAGCTGCCGATAAAGAAATACAGATACTGCAACTTATTTGCCCTTGGTGGCCGTTTCCGTAGATATTTTAATTATTCTTGCAGCCATCGAAAGCTTTCGCCCTTTAGAAGACGCTAGCAAATCAATATTTTATTATTTAACCTCCGTGAATTAATTACGAACCGCTTTTAGTTTCCCAATGTTAGATGAAAACGAATATTAAACCAAGCGAGGCTGTGCAGTTTACGATAGATGAGCAGACATCTCGCTGGACCCAATTAATCCACTAAACAATGGGCCTTACAGGACTACCGAATTTTCGAATTTTAATCTGGCCAATTAAGTGAGTACAATTAACCGTAGTTAATTGGGTTGCGGCAAACGTTATCAAAATAGGTTGTGTTTGGTATTGCTAGAAGTGCGCTTAAATAGCAGAGTCTTAAGACTGGTCCCAAATTTTTATAGCAGGGGACCCAGTAATTAAAGGAGTTTTAATTTTTAAACGTTATCGCCACAGTACGCCGTGCTGCCTAGGAAATCCGTCGTTTAATTTTAAGGTGAAATTACTGCAGTTTCCGCGTGCTGTAATTTGGTTTTAGCTTCTTTGCCAGTGACGGACCATCCGAACTATGGAATAGATCGATAGAATAGATGATTTGCCCGTGGTTTCCAAATCCAAATGGTTAAAGACGGTCGATGCAGAATCTTGTAAAGGAATTGCTGCTTCAACTTGAAATTGAGGGCGCTAAGGATGAAGGTGATTCAAAAAGTTTAAATATTCCGACGTCAATATCATTAAAAAATGTTATCTGCTCAAAATCGACTACTGCAGACAGGCTACAAATTACGCCATACGTTTTTTTTAGTCCATTCATTTTAAAATATTACGGATTATTTCGAGAGACTGGGATTATTTATTTCCGCCTGGTTAATTATCGCTATTGTTCGTCTTTATTATTCTTTCGCTAAATATCCTTTGAACTTGAAGCTGACCAAACTTTGGTTCGCGCGTTTGCTTTATACGTCCTCTTCGAATTTCTCGTAGTCACACGCAATTTCTCCCTCGAATTGGACACGGCTAAATCGTTGTCGCGCGGCTTTACTCGAATGTTTCTAACGGCTCTTTACACGATTGGTCTCGCCATTCGATGCTAATTTTTTCTCGCGGCTCGACGCGAAATGCCCCGCGACTTAAGCTGAACTCTTTACATAAACTAAAATCCACCGTGCACTAACTTACAAGTGGTTAACTTAACTTTTTTATCCACTCGACGCAAACGGTATGTTGTTTTAACGCGTATTCCTCCACGGCTCTCTGCCAACCACCCAATTCCCACTACAATTAATTTTTAATTCATACCCGTTCCGTGGCTCAAACCTTATTCACCAATTAAAACTATTTTTTTCCTCCAATGAGATTTCTTGACATACATAACTACTCCATGTTGACCAAATTTCCATAGTCAACAAAACCCGCTAACCAGCGAACTTGATAATGACTGCAAAATAAACAAAATCACGACGTCTCAGCTTTCACGCGCATTTAAAAAGTCAGGACCGTATTCCAAGATCACTCGCCCACATACAAAGTCGAATCAAAAACATCCGCCAGAAATTGATTTACTGCTATTATCAGAAGATTTACTTTTATGAGAAGTATTTAAAATTTCATGAACATATCTAAGTAAATAGCGAAGTTGGGATGCCCTTGCGCAAAAACGAACACTTATTTGAGATTATCTCTTCATTTAGTTCATTCTATGCAACGTTCTACAAGGTCCGAGTGCTGAGATCTCAAACTCTCAGACGGATGGACAGACGAAATTCCTCGCGAAATTCGCGCAGGTGTAGCTGTCTTTGGTATTCGTCTAGTCTTTGCAATTTTTGAACACAATAATAAGTCCACCTAAATACAAACTAAAACAGACAAGTAAAAAGATTTTTATTATACTTCAATGAAATCACCTTATTTACACTTGTATTAGAAATAATGGTATCGCGCCTTTTCCAGGCTAGCGCACGGAAAAATTTCCCGGTCCTTTTGATTCTTTCCGTGCGCTGAATATAAATACCCAAAATATTGCTTTAAAATACAAATTTACAGGGAAGTAAACTAATTTTCAGAAAATCTATATGCGTTGTAATGTTTCATATGTAAGTATTTTGCGTTTTAATTCGTAGATGTTTGAATATTTAGATAAACTTCTTTGAGAATTTGTGACATTTTTTTACGTTCCGTCAACGTTATCTGAAATAAACTAATTAAACAAATCGCCTTTGAAATGATTTGAGAGTAACCATGAAAACGCATTTTCTATAACTGTTACAAAATAAAAATGTTAGCGAGTTTGTTGTTTTTTATGTTATCGATTTAAAAGAAGTATAATAAAAAATATCGTTCCTTACACGTCCAGAATGATTTTTCCGTACTTGCATGACTTCCCGTGTTCGGCTACGCCTCACACGGGAATTTGTCACGCGCACACGGAAAAAGTCTGCTTTCCGGACTCCTAATGAAATATACTATTTCACCCTAAGGCAAGTAAACTTTAGCGCAATTTCCATGCATAGATCGACATTTCCGAAAAGGTCATAGGAACGGACCTCGGAACGGAGTATTTATGCGTAAAAGGCAAATAAGTTAAAGCATTTTTGTAATTCTAATAACAACGATTAATGAAATCTGCTATTTCATCCGCTAAATTTCAATAAAGTATCTTAAGGCGAGGCTTTACCTAGCGAAACCGGGCTTATTTCATGCAATAGTTTTTCCACTTTTTCTATCTTGGTAAAGCAGATAAAGCGGTGCCGTTTTTTTTGTTTCAAAGAATAAAGTTGAATATTTGTCTATTACTTTGCAGAATTCAAAAATTTTAATTAATTTTGCTGTAATTAAAAGAGTCAAAAAGAGCAATTTTCAGACACGTATATCTACGCTTCTAAGCGTCATATCAAAAAAATTCAAAGTAAAGGAAAATTGTATATGTTTTAACTCACTCCTTGTAAATTATGTTGGCAATTAGTGAATTATCGACTGTAAAAAATTGGAAATTCGATGATAGTATAATGCCAATTTCGTAGGTCGGAAAGCGTTCAGTACGCGTCCCCACTCCATAGCCGTCACGTTCGGCTTTGCTCTCGGCATATCCCCACGCGCTATCGTTTCTACCGTGGGCCGTGGCAATGGCCCGTATGAATAAAAGTAAGCAAATGCTTATACTTGCAAAATTCAAAGTAAATACTGGTAAGTGCTACTTCGCACTGGGCGACTTACCAGCGCTTCTAAGCAGAAGGACAGGACGCAGTGCAACGCTGCTAAACCATGCTAAACAGACCAGTATGAAGGGGCAGTTACGAGTATTTACTTTGAATAAGTATAAGCATTTGCTTACTTTTATTCATACGGGCCAATGTTCTTAGCCTTTTTTCCAACGATCTAGATGCATGAATAATGATTTTGACGTGCTTTGATCAAAGTAACGGGCGATCAAAAATGAGTTGCTGTCGAGTCGCCTTTGCAAGTTCAAGTGAAATACGATTTTCCATGTAAACAAAAATTTCAAAGGGAACTCGACAGCAACTCATTTTTGATCGCATAGTATACAGGGTGTTACACGACCGTTCGAAAAAAAAAAATCGGGTTGTAGAGGGCATCAAAACAAGCACTTTTTCCAAATAAACCGAGGGTCCAACGTGTTTCGTTTGGGAGCCACCCCCCAAAGAGTGTTGAAATC